CCTTGGATCATATAGGGGTCAGTGTGCATCCCGATTTGCCACGATGTTACGCTCTTATTGACTTTGCTCGTTTATTGTCCGTGCACTGCTGCTACTGCAAGGTAAGTATAAGAGTAAACATAAAATTTTAAGGATATGCTGGCGCATATGTCGTAAAGTTGAAGAATGATGGTATCAGCTCATACGTTAGACCTTAGGTAAGAGATGGAAAATAATAGGAGAAATGCCCGTTTTGTAGATAATATTTGCGTACCTGTATAAGGCATAGTGCATTATAGGCCATCTCCGTTTTTAATAAGTATCTGAGAGTATCATCTTAAAATTTGCTGTAGCGTTACCGTTTATGGTGTACATAAGCAGTACGCGACTAGGATGTGAAGAAGGGGGCACTTCTCTAGCTTCGTTCCCTGGGATTTTCTGCAAGGGGAAAATGGGAAATCATGAACCTTGAACCACATATCTCGGCCAGTTAAACAAGGATGGAACGGACTCTAAAGTAACGCTAAAATCAATAACGCTAAAGCCACCAGTTGCCATTATGTACTTTACTATGTACCTATGGCTATGACTATGGCTGGGCGATTGCTGCTAATGGCTGCCACCTGCCATCTGCCACTATGCGGTCCGCCACCTCTTGCTTCAACTTGCCCTGTCCTCTTTTTTTTCTTTCACTGTTTCACACTCAAGTTTTGACACTTTTCACCCGCCACGAATTCATGGTATTCGATCCCTTTTCTATGCCATGTCATTTTCTTCTGCCGCTCGGATCTTGACTCTTTCCGGTTCGTAATCAACTCCGTTCGTGTCAGTCTAGCCCGCAAAGAGAAATGGCTTCTAGCTTAGTGCGTTATGTACGACACATTACGGCAAACAGTAAGAGTAAAACTAAGAGTGGTGGGAGAAGAAATCAAGTCGACGGAAACGGAATGGCTTGAATGTTGACTTCATCCTGAACTTGGGTTGTCATACATAGTACATTTGCTTCCTAGGTCTTGGAAAGTCTTGCAGGTCTTGCAGGTCTTGCAGGTCTTGCAGGTCTTGCTGGGTAGTACGTTGTAGTAGCATCGTGCTCCAGCCTCTAGCCCTCAAGACTTTGGCATCTCATAATCCCTGATCTTTCAAGGGTTCTCTTATTCCATGCCGGTGTCGATCACTTTCCTCACACGAACCCACAAACCAATCCAAGGTTAGCCTACAGTCCTGCGGGCGGATGCTTTGACCTCATCAAAGTAAATTTACACATGATACCCCAGACTTAAACCGGACAGGGCACCAATATCCAACTCGTGGGTACTCGGAAATTGTAAGATTAATATAGAGATATCACCCGGATATCTCCTTTGAATATCTCTACTCTTTGGTTTGGTTGATGTCGTCTGTCCCTTTTGCTTACTTGAGACACTATTCAAAAAAATACATTCTTTTTTTTTGCTTCTGACAGTTCTGACAGTATCTGCGTCAATAGGGACAAACCCCCCCTGTTCCGCATCTGCAGCAACTTTGCTTCTCTTTTTCGAGTTTATTGTTAGATATACTTTCGTACAGTACGTAAACCTGGCCTCGTTGGCTTTTGTTTGTGTCGTCATCTTAAACTCTCGGACTTTGCTTTCTCAATCGATTCCACATACTTGAAAGTGAACGGTGTTTGTGTCAGATCCCCAGCCTGCGCTTATCGACTTTATATTTTCCAGCCGCCTCAGAACGGCACGAAGGGGCCCAAAAACCAAAAGTCATTTCGGTAAAACGGGCCAATTATTGTTTTTATCGGCATTGGAGAATATCAGATTCCATTTTTGGATTAAGGATTAAGGGTTGATTAAAAAGCGGAAATTTCCTGACTGAATAGTTTCCCTCTTGTGGACCCGGTTTACTTGAGCGTTGTTCGTCGATACAGGTTTGCTCGGAGTTGCCACAGGGACGGTTGACGCGTCAGGGACCTCGGGAGTTGTATGGAAAACAACTTGAGACTACTCCGGTATTTTCGAATTACAGCTGTCATCTTAGTCCGGAGCCTCGACTATCGTCTGTCATACCCGAATATCCACCACCAAATACATATCGGTATCACAGATTTCCAGCTTGCTCGACATACAGACTCACGCGCTTCGCCACTGTGTGATTCTCCGATGAAAATCTAGTCGTGCTGCCTCAATTCTCGGCAGCCTGCATTGTCGATCGACTTCACTTTCAGCTGCTGTCTCACTCTTGGTTCAACATCGGATAACGGGTCGAGTATATTCACGTGGACCCTCGCCGAATCCAGGACGCTATCATTACTACAGCACGATTACAACCACGTTTGCTTCAACAATAGTAACCATGAGTGGGCTAATACCGTTGCTACTACCAGCTTCCGCGGGATGTAAATCAACCATTGGCTCTACTACAGAGATAAACCGCAGAGCGTCACTAATTCCATCTTCATTTCCAACTCCACCATCGTCCCTAATTCATCGCCGACAACGGTCTTTGCCGTCTATTGGGACGGCAAGACGGGGTTCTCTTACTCAACCACCTGCCTTACCCATTATTCCATCCACCCCATTGGAGTGGAAGAATGCTGTAGATGAGGTCAAGCGAAAGTATCTTAACCACAAGTACCGAGCATGCTCAGCAAGATGCTGCGAGATTATAGATAACCTCAAAGACGCATCTAATGTGGAGCCTCTTTACTTAATTTATTTACACTTCTATGCCGCCTCCTCTTTCGAGCTTTGCGCCAGGCCACTATCGTACTCATCCACTTACCGCACCAGGTTACTTAGCGATGCCGAGATTCACTATGGTAAGGCCGAGGCGTTGATCCAGAACACGGAGGAAAACATAACCCGAAAGACAAGATCTACGTCGTCATGCTCCATTGCTTCTAGCATACCCTCCCCAGGATTGTCGCCTAGTGTACGATCATCAGTCTCAAGCACGACATTTTCATCACCTAGGACTTCGGTATGTTCAACAGGAGACGAGCCCGTGATAAAGCCAGGCCCGAAATCAGGGGTCAAGGCTAAGAAGAAGGTATCTTTTTCCGGACTAACCGATCTTATCGAGTTCCAACCTGAACCATATATTCGCCCAGACAGCCCTACCTTGGGATGGGAGGATGACATCTTTCCCCATCACTCGGATAGCTCTCTTCCCCTATTCTCAGCGAACAAATTGAAGTCGGCACCTTTATCGAAATCCGAGCCTAAAGAACCGGAATCACCTTTCGAACCACAACCTACAATACCAGAGCGCTCCGTACCTCGTGATTCCCAGTATGTAGAGGAGTTAAGCATCGCAGACGACAAATTCGATCTCGACGCATTCTTACAGACACGTTCAATGAATAGGATGTGCGCACAGCTTTCGGCCTTACGTTCACAAATCACCTGGCATCGCGACGGAGTTCAGACTTTACTCGCTGGACCTAATGATACACCGGAGGAACCTGTGCCAGCATTATCAGAAGACGTTTCCCCTGTATCTTCGTCGCCCCTTGGTGGGATGCGGCTACCTCGTGCGAATACTCTGCCCATTGAGGTTGGATCAGACTCGCTACCATGGACAACCTCTGGCCAACGAGACCGCTTCACCGACTCACCCGTTCCAGACAGTCCCAGAGCGATCAGCCGACCGGCATCTGCAGCCTCAACTATTCGCTGTACCGATGAAGCTCTAAAGCAACGCATAGAGCGCCTGCGTGCCAACGGCTGGCAGAGAAAGCGATTCGATAGCAGACGATACGAAGCCCTGCGAGAACAGGTCCTTGGTGAACTTGCATAGGATGCTCTTCGCACCAAGCACTTTATTCGGCAGCGCAAATCCTGACTTAAAAACTGAATAGTCATTACCAACTTCATATAAGCTTAACCACAACCAGTTAGCTCAGGCACCGAAATATTTACCCATCCGTGTATTGGAGAGGGCAAGGGGTATACTTGATTCGATTCTTGCTTTGTATATTGCATACCATTAGTATATTTATTTCATTTGTTTCGAGGAAGGAGGCGGGAGGAAGGGCAAGGAAGTGACACGGAAATAGGAGTCAGGAGTCAAAACTGCATGTAACGAAAGCCGACGGGAAAGCATGTTGTTGTTTTTTTTTTCATTCACCTGGCAATCATTATACCCGGCTACGAGGCCACCCAAAGCAAATCGATGGGATGGGCACGATCTGCCAAAGATAAGGAGGACAAGAGGTGGAAGTGGATATGCCTATAAGGAGAAGCTGTCCTTGCGGAGACATGATGAATTTGGCACGAGGAAATGTATTTGTACGTGTACGTCTGCTGTCGTTGTTACGGGATTACGATTCCCGTGATATTCCTCTCTCTGTTCCTGCTGGACCGAACGAAAGAAGGGAGAGGGGAGAAATATACATTTAATGATTTACGTTATTATACGTATACGTACATACCGACTTAATTATCAAATAATCCTGCCAAATGCTCTGTTATTATAGCCGTGAAGTAAAGAATGAGTCAACTTAAAGTGGTAGATACGAACTATATCGCAGATAAACTTACGAACTAAGATGGAACGTAACTGTTCTCGCTACTTTCAATTACTTATTCTGTCCTACTTACCCCCTCCCTACCTATGATATCGAAGAAAATAATCAACACACGTCCGTGGCGCATTAATTAATAAAAACCAATCAGCAACCGCAAGAGGAACTAGACGAAACGAAGAAGAACGTAATATTTAATATAAAAGCCAAGCTCAACAAAGCACTGACCAAACGCAAAACGGATATCAGGAGGGAAAGAGGAATAGAGAAAAAGAACACGAGGAATCTCTTGCTTCCCCGGACCGAATAGCCAACCACTTTGTTCCGTCCACTCTGCCAGCCCGTGCTGCTATGCGTTGTAATGTGTTTCAGTTTATGACTGACAAAAACGATTTTTCATCATGCCGTCCTTGGATATCTTTCCATTCCCATTGCCCTTCCAAATACGAAAGGGGGGTATCTATTATATCGCTAAGATGCGTTTCTAGCTCGATTTTGGTTTATTTGCTCAACCCTGGAAACTCTTCCGCTTCGCCTCCTTTTCCACTTCTTCCGTGACCTTTAGAGTCTGCTCCTGCTCCTTCATCTCGCGGACTTTAGCCAGAACCACTTCGCGGAAGATGGCACCCTTCATTGCGCGTGTGAGCTTGCCCTTGCCGGTCTCCTGCTGAGGCGACGCGGGTTTGTCTGATCCTTGGCTGGCTGGAGCTACTGAATCATCGGCAAAGTCAGGGTGCTCTGGGTCGTCTTCTTGGATCTTGAGCGCCTCGATACGGTTTGTCAGTTTGACAAGTTCGATACCACGACGGAGTCTTGCCTTGGCCATGTAGGCCTTGATCTCAGGAAGTAAGTTGTGATCTGAGGCATTTTCGCCGCTGAGCCAGGGGTGCTTAAGTGCTTGCTATGGAGATTATTAATATGGAGATGTAGAATCTGTGGTGGAGGATAAGTGTGACATACCTTGCTGGACCACCTGTCTTCCGGATCCGGTTGCAACAGGCGCATAATAAAGTCCTTCGCATCGTCACTCACATCTCTCCAGTAGCGCTCATGGAAGACCACTTTCCCATTACTGCATTCGTCGATCAAATCCTGCAGGTTTTCGGAGCGGAAGGGAGAGTAACCACAGAGAAGAGTGTAAGTAATGACACCTAACGACCACATATCCACAGGCTTGCCATGACCTTTCTTCAACATGACTTCCGGTGCTGCGTAACCAAAAGACCCCGCCATTGTAGTCAGAACCTCATCCTTGGTATCAAGCATCTTTGCAATTCCGAAATCTGCCAAGACTAAGTCGGAATCGGGGTCTTTGCTGAGGTAGAGGAGATTCTCGGGCTTAAGATCTAGTTGCATACAGTTAGATAACCGTTATATAGCTACTGGCGGTGCTGTTTTTACTACGTACCTCGGTGTACTACGTTCCTGTCGTGGAGGTAGCTGACAGCGTCGAGAACCTGCCTGATGGTCTGTGAAGCGTCCTTCTCTGTGAACTTGCCCTGTTCGCAGATGCGATCGAAAAGTTCACCGCCGGTGGCGAGCTCGGTGACAATGTACCATTTATCCTATACGTAACAGGGTCAATTGAAGTCCGCTCGAGAGCACATATACTTTGGATTAGTAGGACATACCCTTGACTCGAACCAATCCACGAAGCGAACAATGTGAGGGTGTTTAAGACGCTGGAGCATATCTAGCTCATCCCAGACCATTTGCTCGTTTCCCTTAACATTTTTCTTGAGGATGATCTTAATAGCGACTTTGCCTTTGGGGCTATCTGCTTCGCGCACGATACCATATGTGCCCGCACCAAGGGTTCGACCAAATCTGTACTTCGCTTTTCTTTCGTAACTTTCTGGCTGGCCTCGAAGGCTGCTAAACATCGCGTTGACTATAGGAGTGTTGTAGTTAGTAAAGAGTGGTGGTTATATTGGCATTATACACTCAACGCTTCGACGAAGGGATTGAGACCAGCAACGAGCGAATCGACGAGGACATAGCCGAGACGATTTTATTGTTTTTCCCTGAAATAGAGAGGGGAGACACATTGGATTAGGCGTTGGGGGCTGAGATGACAAGTGAGGATGGTAGAGAAAAACTCACAACTCATTGCGACGTGGGGTAAACTGAACAAGGAGAATCGATGAATGGTGAGGGGCTTCCTAAGTTGGTCGTATGCTATTTTGGCCGATAGGTTCGTGGAGTCGAAAGGAACGATCCCCTCTCAAAGAAGGGGAAGGGGAATAGGAAGTTAAGTATGTAGAAAGAATCGAAGTTACAGAGAACTAAAAGCACAGGCCGTTAAAAAGACAACGAGGCTTCAGCTGCTCTAGATAACGTTCTGTAATGTATGCAGGTCAGAGATATGTAGGTAGGTATGTTTAGGTACCATACGGTAATGAGGTATTGGGCTTGAAAAGTGAATGAATGAATGAATTGCAAGCCGTAGGTGGATTGTCAGATAGGTAACAGGGTACCGAATGGTGCTAATTTGGGTACGGGTACGTGGATTTGATATAAAATACCATATAATACGCGTATACGTACAATATGTAATTTGTACTCGTACTTTGATGTAATAATAAATGTTGTACTATGGGGTAAATCTTGTAAGTGGTAGAAGTTGGCCCCTCTTCTAATGGTTCCTTCTGATGGACCCCTCCTCTTAATTATTATTTTAGGTGGTACCTAGGGTAGGTATGAGTAGCTGAATTTTGATCGACTCTTATAAAACTGGATCGAGGGGCTTTCCGCTTTCTGTTATACGGTTGCCGATGTTTGCCGTATTAATTTGATAATTATTGGTACTAAATAATCACTTGACGTGGAGGATGAGGTAGTTTGTGTAATTTGTGGACATAAAAATAGTTGAGAGACAGGGAGAAATATATCTATCCGTATCATCTGTATCATCTGTATTAGTTGTACCTAGATGTTAGGTCCACAAAGGTATGACCCTATAATCCCATGTGTTTTGCAGGTAACACCCTGGTTAGGTAGGCTGAGTTTGGAGGTAACCTTTTTGTGTTTAGTCGTCTCTCTGTCTACCTTACCTTACAATTGTACCTAACATATCTAACATACATATGTCCTAGGTATGTGATATGATGTGATATGATATATTCGGAGAAAGCCTTGCCGGGTACCTTGTCCAACTAGGTGGGGTTATGAATACCGCGTATTGCATTGCGCCTATCGAGAGGCAGCTTGTGCATCCCAGCATCATCATCGCCAGTATGAGGTATGTATTGCTGATAATATTAGTTATTAAGTAACCTTCAATAGCGTATGTGTTAGGGCGACTCAGCCGCAATACTGGGGCAGTACCAGCCGAATAGCTCCAATAACTTAGCATCCACGAATTGAATCCAGTGGATGGCTCAAGTGTGTGTAATTAGATAACCTGGTTCACGCGCATCTTCGGAATCCGGAATACCGGCCACGACCAGCTTGCGCCAGCATAGGTAGGTTAGGTACTCAAGCAGCAGGCCATCCTTGGGTTCCCTCACTAGAAGGTACATATAAGCTGTGGCTGAGTATGATAATCCTTCTGGAGTAAGTTCAATATTTCCATAATTCAATTCCAATGCCAATGCCACACTTTATGATGTGGCTTCGAAAGAAAAATGATAAAAAGAATCCTTTGCCTGCGTGTGTATTGATTTGGAGAACCACGTATGTAAGTTATAAAGAACCTTTGAAGATAACGGGCTTACATGAGTAATTAGTGCAGTGCCGACTATCTAACAACAGTCGTATCACATGCGAGAAACCTATATAGAACATAGGTAATATTAATTTGAAGCGACGCACCCCCCCGAGGTACAGAGTAACAGATATATATGACTAAGGTGTTCCAATACATCGGACTTTAGGTGATCATATAGTTATAAGATTATGGAATTGATGATGTCAACTTGTTTAACTTACCTAAGGTAATAATTTATTATTTGTAGAGTGAATTTGGAGAGTTTCGCCCACCTACTTTCTTATAGCAGTTGTATAATATAACTAGTTATAACGTTTCTTAACTGTACTTACCTCCTGCCTTATACGCTAACGGAAGGAGTCATCTGAGAGGCGCTTATTATCGATAACCAGGATCCATAGGCTACTCGTGTAGGTAGGTCGGTATAAATACTAACGTCACCTGGCAGTCAGGCCGAATACTACGCGCCTACCTACTGCAGGTAGCTTTGTTGAAACTTGACTTTGCGGGGCAATTCTATTTTCAAAGCTTTAGGGGACCTTCACTTGCTGCTTCCTGCAATAAAAAAAATCATACAATACATTCGAACATATCGGTTATTTTCCTCCTTAGACCTGCCATCTTTGGTCTCGGAGGAGCTTAGTTTCGACAGACAATGTGCACCTCAATTTAACATTAGTTACTCCAACTCACAAGGTATTTTGACCTACCTAAGCTCAAGCTATCCAAACTGCCTTGCGCACCGTCTAACTTATCTAGAATAATTTCCTGTACTGCTGTACTGCTGTACTGCTGCCTCGTTCCTTGACTGCACCCGATCGCTTGATGCTCTTTCGGGTTGCTTCGAAGTCCGCTTAAGTTTGGCGAACAACTCAAATCGCGAGGGTTAACCTAATTAGCGGCAAAGCCGAGTAACGCCACTCAACATTGAACGTCAACCTACTTGCGCCTCTTCGCGTGTCTGTTCTCCGTTTCAAAATGGCCAACTTGGGTCCTAGGAGGCTGACAAAGGAGCTGGCTAAGGTATTATCGATTCTTGCAAGAAACAATTGCTCTTACAATATGACATTGCTAACAAGATTCTGACCTTCAGATCTCGAATAGCTTGCCTCCCGGTATTGCTTTAGTCTCTGCAGATAATCTCGAAGAGTGGTTTCTTGACATCCAAGTTCTAGATCAGAATCCAATCTATGCAGGCCAGACATACCGTCTAAAGTTCAAGTTCAGCACCTCGTACCCCATTGGTAGGCGCTCCCACTATCCATTTCACTGGAGGCTGAGAACTAATGCGAATGTAATAGAACCCCCCGAAGTAACTTTCGTGAAGCTAGAAAACCGCCCGATACCTATGCACCCTCACATCTACTCAAATGGAATCATATGCCTCGACTTACTAGGGTCACAAGGATGGAGCCCCGTCCAGAACGTGGAGAGCGTATGCATGAGCATCCAGAGCATGTTGACAGGAAACACTAAGAGCGAACGTCCACCCGGCGACGAAGAATTCGTACGCGGAAACCGCTTGCGACCTAGAGACATCGATTTCTACTATCACGATAACACCGTATAAAAGTATCGCGTCTATCTTCTATATTCCCTGGTAGGATTACCAGTGGCGGTTTCACAACTTGGCGGTTCTCTGAGACTCGAAATACCTTGTTTCACTTGCATAACTTTTGCCTGGAGTAGATTTGCGAGGCGTACTTTGTTGGACACTTAAAGGTATAGGAGATTCATCCATCCAGTCAGGCTGAATCCTCTCATGATATTAGTAGCATGAAGCTGATAGGCATTGCGTGGATAGGCGGCATGCGATCGTCCATATGAGACATCTACATAGGAGCAAAGGCCCCTTTGTAATTAGTATTTTACGACTACGATCATGATCCCACGTTCTGAGTGATTGTAGCTTGGTTTTCCGACACGATTATTACTTGAGCAAATCGTAACACCGAGGTCAATATATAACATTTTGATAACATTCTTAACATAAAGGTGTAGCTAGATATTGCTTCCTCGTAGAATTTAATATCATACAACCATGCGACTATTCACATAACAATAATATATACGACAATAAGATAGTCCCATCAATGATAGATGTATAGGTTAGGTATATCAATAGTTAGGTACATAAATACATACATCTTTATATAGAGCGGAGCTGTGACGTCGTGTCCCTCCTGCTTGTACAATCGGCTAACTAAAATTGGAATAAGCGATAAGCTCTTCTAACCCACCTAACCTTACCCAATTTAACCCAAGTTAACCTAAAGTTCCCCAAGCTTTGAAGCTACCCCCCCAGTTCCATTTATAATTCCTCCAGAAAGCTCCAGTTACAATTCCAGCTTCCAGCTTCCAGCTCACAACTCACAACTTACCAACTCTATCTATACACCGTTTCTTTCGCTCACGAGTACCACCCCCATGAAGAGCTCATAATGGCTCCTCATGCGGGGTTCGACGCCGAACAGATTAGAGACAATGCTCGAAAGGATCTTCTTTATCTTCTTGAAGGCGTAAGGCTACTTTAAACCTCTGCCATCTTGTTTGGATAATCGGGAATAACACGACTACTTAGGTTCGCGGGAAGAAGAATCTCGTCATCGAGCGTAGCTTGGCTGGCCCAATAGGTGTCGTAGTCAAGGTATCAACCCTACAAGATTATGGCGTAGACAAGTTCTTCATTCTCGAAAATAAGAATGCTGACACGAGCCAACGCAATGTCGTGTTTATGGCACGAGGGGAGTCTGCCCGCCACGCTCAATCCATAGCAGGTTCGTCGTCTCCCTCATATTCATCTTCGCTCTCATCCTCCGGCACCTCTTTCAACGTCGAAGAATCACGGGCTCTCCAGTAGGCACCATGGAGTTATTTTCCAATTCACGATACCAGTCAATATTGCCCCAATATGAAAATCTTATGAGCACAACCTATAGTGTTTTCGCCAGAGTCGACGCACAAGACACCATCGTAAAATACTAACATTTGGTACAGAGCATATTAAGCGGCTACAACGCGAAAGCCAGACCGGTCACGAATTCCACATCTTCTGGGTACCCCGCCGTACTCTGGTATCTGATAAGCTCTTAGAGGAAGCTGGTGTGTTAGGCGATGTGAACATTGCGGAGCTCCCGTTATATTTCTTCCCACTTGAGCGAGATGTCCTATCTCTGGAGCTCGACGACTCTTTTCGGGATCTTTTTCTATTCAAAGATACAACACCGACATTTCTAATGGCGAGAGCCTTGATGGGAATTCAATCCAAACACGGACTATTCCCGCGCGTCATTGGAAAGGGTGACAACGCGAAGCGCGTGGCGGAACTACTCACCAGAATGCGACAGGAGATACTGGCTGGGGAAGATGCGAGTGAAAATACCCGGTCTGGGCTTACACCAAGCAACACGATAGAAAGTGTGATATTGATTGACCGCGAAGTCGATTTTGTTACGCCTTTACTCACGCAACTGACATATGAAGGGCTGATTGATGAGGTCTGGGGGATTCAGAATAATCAAGCTGATATCGATTCTACTATCGTGGGAGCTCCGCCACAGCCTGTATCTCAGAGCGCGACTACTCCGACAGCCAGTGCCCCTTCGAGGAAGCGTAAAATACAACTGGATTCTTCAGATAAACTTTACGACGGACTCCGCGACGCAAACTTCGCAATTGTTGGTACACTACTCAACAAAGTTGCACGAAGGTTGCAAAGCGACTATGATAGCCGCCATTCGTCTAAGACAACCGCGGAGCTTAAAGACTTCGTGAAAAAATTACCCGGCTATCAAACAGAGCACCAGAGCTTGAAAATACATACTGGGCTTGCCGAAGAGATTATGAAACATACACGAGCAGATCAATTCAGTCGCATGCTAGAGGTCCAACAGAACCTCGCTGCGGGTGCCGATCCCAGTTCCCAATTTGAGGCTATTGAAGAATTAATCGCAAGAGATGTGCCGTTGCAAGAGATACTGAGACTCTTATGTGTATATTCATGCATATCTGGTGGTATCAAGACAAAAGACTTCGATCATTTTAGACGCTTGATATTAGAAGGCTACGGGTACCAACATTTCTTAACCTTAGTTAACTTGGAAAAGCTGCAGCTATTCTTATCTCGCGCTTCGCCTATGGCAAGCATGATCCCTATGCCCGGTTCGGGGACGACAACCGGAACTAAAACAAATTACGCCTACTTACGCAAACAGCTTCGTTTAATCGTTGACGAAGTTAATGAGCACGACCCCAATGACATCGCATATGTATATAGTGGCTATGCGCCCCTTTCGATCCGTCTCGTACAATGTATACTGCAGAAGCAATATCTCCTTTCCATTACACGTGGCAACGGGACGACTGGCGCAAGCACAGCTGCTAGTAGCGGTGCGCAAGGGTGGCGAGGTTTCGACGAGGCTGTGAAACATGCACGGGGTCAGACGTTTGACGAACTACAAAAGGGCGAAGACAAAGCAGTCAAGGCTCGAGCTCTATTATCTGGAGGGGGCGACAAGAAGACGGTGTTTGTTGTATTCGTAGGAGGAATAACATTTACTGAGATCGCTGCGCTGCGATTTATCGCAAAAAAGGAAGAAGGTCGGTACCGTATTTACCCCTATGATATGTTCTTTCAGATCAACTAACAATGTTTTTAGGTAGGAGGAATATTGTAATTTGCACTACCTCGATCATTAGCGGGAATAAGATGATGGATGCTGCGGTAGAGAAGAAGTCATTTGCGAGGGAGCCACCTAAGCCGGCTGCTGCTTCGTCTACGGCCTAGCAATGCAACCATTTCCCTTGTGTCAAATTCACCATGATAGCAGCCGCATCCTAGCGTACGATCATATGGGAAGAATAGCTCTGATTTATGTATTTATAATAGCTGGGTCCAACGAGTAGGGGGATAATGAATGGTACCTATGCTTGGCAAGGTGAATGAGGTTTATTAAGATCTAGACCCAAGGGATATTAGCGGATGCGAATTGAGGATATATTTAGCATTGTACTTATTCTATAACTATTATGTGCATCGCTGATTTATAGACGCGATACGACACTAGGAAACGATACCGGGTGCCTACGAATATCTAAGGTCAATTGTTGAAGATAAGTGAATCTATAGATCAACAATTACCCTTAAGTAGATAACGATTTTACGTCAATACACAGATAGACACAGAAGACTAGGGGATCACGTGCAGTAGCGGCGGGGAGCACGGAGCACCGGCTCCAAAAGACCAAAAAATTGAAGTGGCAGAGTGGCAGAGTGGCAGAGTGGGCAAGCCCGCAAGGGTAAGTTTAGCGGCTAGCGCAAGATTAGGAGGAGCTTTTAGTTATATGGCATTACTTATGCAGATTTGAATTTCTGTGTAGGTACATACATACATGTCTTAATACGCCAATGTCCATATCAATCTTACCCTCTCCTCCCCCTTCGAGATTGGGTTATAAAAAAAACCGAGGAAATCTCTCCAACCTCTATTAATGCAATGCACAATGCAAAAATAACACCTCTCGAATCATTATAATAGGTTCCAATTATTCAATCTTTTCGAGACCTAAAACAATAACCGATTATAATCGAGTCGAGATTTATGTCTCGTAAGAGTACAGTACTGAGACCCGCTTATTTTAACTGTGCGTGATCATTCGATACTTTAATAAACCTCCAAATTTGATGAGGCAAGGTTCTTGTATGTACACTGTTGACTAACAAGACTCTCTAGAGTTCACAAGAGTCAAGAGTCCAAAGTCCAGTCTCCAGTCTCCAGAGTCCAAGTTGCCGATAACTTGCGGTAGTCAGCATGACATTTAAGTGTCAATTTCCTGCAACCAATCTAAAACGAGATACTTGATTATTCAATGGGAGTCTTGGCCAAACTCCTCATACACGAATCCCGGACGACCTCGCTCATACCCATATATCGATGCATGTGTATGTCTCCAACCAACACGGAATCTGAGCTCGTCAGCTATGAGCAGCACTCAGGAGGTCTTGTTGGAGGAGGGTAATTTTATAGGGTCGGGCCCTCTTATGGATTTAGAGGAATTGGACCATCATCTAGAATCAATACTTGCCTCTCCGGCTGATATCACGAGAACTCTTCCAGCAGCTCTCCTTGCGGACTCCTTCAAATCATATAATCCCAGGCTATCTACCTCAAGAGACACCCCGAAGACAGAATCTGAAATAGTTGTTCGAATTGACGGTATGGACGTATCTTCGGATAATATGGCCTCTGCGCCTGTATCACGACAAGATCCTGCGTAAGTCTCTCATGTGATATATCCGTAATAATCACTCCCACCATTAGTCTCGAAACTCTAGTACCATGTTTCCATATCCTAAACAGATAATAGGTCTCATCACAGTCAATCACCATCAATAAATTCCAAGTCTTCAAAGGCTCACGAGAACTCTGGAAATTCATTCGGGTCATCAACTTCGACCATGTCAGATCAGTCAGAATTGACATCTCCACCATCATCGTCGCATTCAAGTAAAGCGACAACGCCTATTGACATGGGTTCGTTACAAGAGCCGCTGATGACCCACATCGACAATAAAACCACAACTAAGGCAAAAAGACGCCCATTCGACGTGCGACCACGAGTATCTATCCCGACAGACATCTCTCCACATGAGTATGCCAACCAATGCATAGCCGCAGCCGAGTCTTCTCGACTAAATCCTTATGCTCTACATCAGGATGAGTACTTGATGTTGAGAAATCATCTCAGTCATGCTCAGGTGACTACCTATCTGAACATCCGAAACGGGATCCTACGATTATGGTTGAATAACCCTCGAATCGGAGTTTCTCGTGAAGAAGCTATTGGATGTGCCAAAGATCCAAGATGGTTCGACGCTGCAAGCGTATGCTATGACTGGCTCCTTCGATCAGGATATATCAACTTCGGCTGCGCAGAAGTTTCCTCAGCTCAGAAGCGGCCGACGAACGTCAAAACGAGCAAAAAGGGAAAGACAGTAGTTGTCATTGGTGCCGGAATGGCTGGCCTGGGGTGCGCAAGGCAATTAGAGAGCTTATTTGGCCAATATGATAAACGATTTCAGCATTTGGGAGAGGAAGCTCCGAGGATAATTGTCCTCGAGGGTCGAAATCGCCTAGGCGGTCGTGTGTACTCACGTGCACTTGATGGCAGCAAAAGTCAACATCTGATAGGATTTCAAGGCCGGCGGCATAGTGTAGAGTGTGGAGGCATGATTATCACTGGATTCGAGCGAGGTAATCCACTAAATATTTTAGTGAGAGGACAGATGGCCTTGCCTTATTATGCTTTACGACCTGACACCACCCTCTACGACGCCAATGGCAAGGCTGTGGACGATGTACGGGATCGCCTTGTCGAAAAGCTTTACAACGATTGTCTTGAACGAGTAAGCGACTATAAGTTTAAGAACCCGCCGTCCAAACTCATTGAAGGCAACAAGGACCTGATGGATGAAGGTCGGGATAGTTCATCTGAAGGTCAAAAGACTATCGCTCAGGTTGAAGAGGCAACGGCCGCTCTCCCGCAGGCACCACCGGTCTCAGAGCAGAGCTTAGGGCCTCAGATCAGTCTCGTCCCCGTCTCTACGGACCGAGCAACTGGTAGAACCCATGTCAAGCCGGGCACCCCAGCTACCCTCAAGGCAGCCTTTAAAGCGCATCTGATGGGTTGGGCGCTCAAGGAACATGTGACTGAGGACTATGATTTAGACCTTGAGACAGCAGCCAAAGCTCCTAATGCCACCCTTGGCTCTGTCATGGACGAGGCGATTACGCAGTACAAGAATATCGTTGATCTTACGCCCCAAGACTTTCGACTTATGAATTGGCACATAGCCAATCTCGAGTATAGCAACGCAACCAATTATAATCAACTGAGCATCGGAGGCTGGGATATCGATGCTGGTAACGAGTGGGAAGGTAAACACACAATGGTGGTTGGTGGCTACCAAGATGTCGCATGGGGTCTGGCAAATATGCCTTCGCGATTAGACGTTCGGAAGAATACTAGCGTTAAACAAATATTCTACGATCCCGATGGACTAAAAGCTGCACGTGTCGAATGCGAAGATGGCTCGACCTTTGAGGCAGACTATGTGGTTTCTACGATTCCTCTCGGAGTTCTCAAGCATGGCAATGTTGAATTCAACCCTCCCCTGCCGCCTTCCAAAGCAGGCGCTATTAGTCGCTTGGGTTACGGTATTCTTAACAAAATCATTCTAGTCTACGCAGAGGCTTTTTGGGATACGAGCAGAGACATCTTCGGTTGCCTACGAACTCCAAACTCTCGCCATAGCCTCAAGCAGTCTGAGTACACTTCACAGCGTGGGCGTTGCTTCCAGTGGTTTAACACGTCAAATACAAGTGGCATCCCAGTACTTATTGGACTAATGGCTGGAGATGCTGGCTTTGATACTGAACATTCCAACAATGACGAGCTCGTAGCTGAAGCCACCGAGGTCCTTCAGAGCGTATATGGTGCTAAAGTTCCCCAACCGATCCATTCGATCGTCACACGCTGGGGTTCTGACAAATTTGCTCGAGGGTCTTATTCCTCTGCCGGCCCTTCGATGCGTCCGGACGACTATCAAACGATGGCTAAATCAGTTGGCAACTTATTCTTCGCAGGCGAGCATACAACCGAGACTCACCCTGCTACAGTACATGGCGCATACCTATCTGGACTACGCGTAGCGTCGGAAGTAATCGATGCTATGATCGGCCAAATCGAGGTCCCCACTCCGCTGATACCACGTAAAGAGTCCGCTTTCTCTTCCCAGGGGTTGAAGCGCAAGGAGCCTGGAGATGGTCCATCAGCCATCTCCCCCAAATCCAACAAACAGGCTCGCATTGATGAGTATGAGGCCGCAGTTTGGCGACATGTCATAGCGGCAATCGGGGAGCGACCTTGGCGACCCCAGAAAGTTGCGGGAAATGCCTATCTTCTATATAGTAAGGCGTTCTTCGAGGCGGCACGCAAGCGGTGTGCAGAGGGCCGCCGAGCTGGCAAGGGCAAGCCGGGTCCAAACGAAGTACGAGTCATGACAAGTAAAATGTGGAAGGAGGCGACTCCTGAAGATCGAAAACCGTTTGAAGATCAAGCGTCCGATCAAAAGCAGAAGTATAATGAAGCATTAAAGGCCTGGGAAGCGAAGATCAAGGAATGGGATCAGCGTTACCCCATAGTAAGAAGCGAATATGAAAAAGACCATAAGCTCGTGTTCGAGGACGAGGGAAGCCCTACTAGTGAGAGCGGAAGGGAACGGAGACGCGCTAAGGTCAGCAACTATGCTGAGAGTGAGGGAAGTGATATCGACATGGAGGAGTAAAACTTTGGAGCTAGGGTAATACGTCCACTCCAAGTTCTTTCGATTACATACATACGTTAGGTACCTATACATAACCAAAACTCTGGGATAATACCTCTATTCAGAGGGGTAGGAGTTGTACAAAAAGATTTACTAGGAGGCGCTGGCCTACCGGCTGGCGCGTATAGGGGTTAGGCATATTTACGTTTGTCGTTGGCGTACGGGCTTTGCATCGGAAGTAGTCATAGGGGGCGTTGGGACGGCGTGTGATGGTTCCTGAAGTACATAGTTGCTAAGGCCCAAAGGCTCTACTAAGAGCCTAACACGGGGCTTCTGAAATACGTTTATTGCGATGCGTTTATCATATTCATTTCTTGCTTGCGTGTAGTTGTGATTTGTGTCTTCAACGTTAAGAGGTAGTGATGCCGGTGACTTGAGCTGGATTATAATACCCACATATTTTCTCCTGGAGAAAATTATAGACTTGTATTTCCTGACAGAAGTAGGTAAGGCCGTGGATTCGTGGTTTGTTAGATTACTTGACTATTGACTTTAGGGACTAGGAATCTGAGAAGTTGATACCTAGGTAGTGATGCTGTCCTTGGCTAGGAAGCCGTCGGATGTATTGACAGGCAAGTGATAACGTGAACCCTTACACATAATGCTTAAATAGTCTGAAAAGGCGCTATATCATTTTCTGCGACTGGCCGTATACTATTAAGTTAACGTAGCAGCTGCCAGATAGGGTAGGTGGATGTTGTGGTTTGGGAAACTTGCATATTAGGTAGGGTAGGTTGGTAGGTATTCAATATATCATTAGGTAGTTAGTAGAAGCTCTAGGATATGATATGGACTGCTCCTGTAGACTACAGGGTGGACAAACATGTTGGAATGTAATGTCACAAACTCTGCTGCATGTTTCTGAGAGGTAGGTAGGTAGGTAGGTACCTAGTTTCCTAGAGCTATGCATGTAGTTAGTCCGTTTGGTATAAAGTAAAGTAGGTAGATACCTTAGGTATACATGGTAACGTGGCGGGAGGGTGCTTCTGAATCTGTTATGGATTGCTTGAGTATCTAAATTGATGATAGCAAGTAGATCTGTGGACCTTGGGGCTTCTATGTGACGTGTTAACCAAGACATGGCTCGGCTGGTTGATGTAGCCCTGAGGAGGTAGTGGTGTTTATTGAAGACGCAGGGGTAAACGTGTCTATCTCAAATTATATCAACTAAGTGGCTAAAAACTCCAAAGCGTAGGGGGGAGGGGGGGGATAAATAGACAGCTTCACTTGATATACTAGATGTCGTTTAAATTACCGCTGTGTAGGTGGTTTGTCTTGGTGAGCTTGAAGCATGAGTGGTCGAAAATGATAGGAGGTACTTTGTCTATCTACCTTGTCTATCTCTATATGATATGGTACTGGTAGTAATGATCTACCCCCTCACCGTATTAATGGGGACGGTCAGTGTAGTTTAGGTGAATATACACTGCAGCTAACTCACGTAGAAAGCCTCTAAGCACTGCTTCAGGGGCAAGTTGACGTTTCAGTCGGATGCAAAACTGCGTCACATAAAACAAAGAGGATAAAGAAGGCAAGTAGGGCTGAGGAACTAGTTCATTGAATTGATACATCCAAGGCGACAGCGCCGAGGTTTTGCTTAGGGTACTTTGATACAAAGGGAAGATGCGATTGGATTATTCACCACCCCATCTATTTTTCTATCACCCGCCGCTCTACATGTCCTCCGAGGCGGTGGCACCAGTGATGATTTCGACTAGTTCGCCTGTAATGACGGCTTGACGAGTTCGGTTGAAAAGAATCTGGTACTTGCTGATCATCTCACCAGCGTTCTTGGAGGCGTTCTATAAAGAAGGTTAGAGGCGGGGAGGCTTGATAGTTTGATAAGGTTGAGTTTGACGGTTTAAACTTACATCCATAGCCTGTTGTCGGGCAGAGATCTCGCAGGCGTGTCCCTCGGCAAGAGCCCAGTAGAGAGAGTTAGCTAGGGCGTATTCCCGGAGGTTAGACAGAAGCTCCTCGTCGACCTCGAAGGCAGAGAAGTTGGGGGAGTTGGCAATGGCCTCCTCCGAGAAAGCCTCGATGATTATGGGTTCGTAGCTGGTAGCGTTGATGAACTTGTTGTGCACAATCTTGATGTCAGTGTAGTCGGTAGGAAGCTGCGTAACCTGGTCGGCGATGGCCTGGGCATCGGCGAAGGTCGGGATATCCTTTCCAATACCGGCGAAGCTGAGAACGATGTCCTTGGCATTCGTACGGCTGAGCTGGGCCCTGGACTTCTCTCCGATGAGAATTAGATCGGCAGGTTGATCGTTGGCAGCTAGTTGTCGGCGCATAAAACGCGAGAGACCGGAGTGAACACCACCGCAGAGACCCTTGTCGGAGCTGCACACGATATACAAGGTCTTCTTGCCCTCACCCTCGAGGGGCTTAGTCTCGGCGGATTCGAAGACTTCGTTGGAGGTCTGGCCGTACTTTCGAGAGTCGTTCATGACACGTTGGGCACGGGTCAACTTGGTGGAGGCCACGATCTTCATGGTGTTGGTGATCTTCTCGATATTCTTGATAGACTTTAGACGACCTTCGATTTCTCGAAGGGTAGCGTAGCCAGCTGCTCCATTGTTGACGGCACTGTACCAATTCAACTATTAGTACGTCTTTCTTTATAAAATTCTTAATTCTTAGAGACGTGATCGAGGGATGTATTTTGAGGGTAGTCGACGAATTGCCTCATATAATTCCATCCCACTTCAAGATCCGACGTACCGAGCAGGAATAGCCGCAGCTCCAGCTCTCAGAGCCGGTCGTGCTACCCTTGAAAGCATCTTGAAGAACTGAAGGGTGAGTCGTGTCCTAAGCCCTTAGATAAGGATTGATTGCGATGCGATGGGGGGGGCGCAATCAATTGTTGACTCTGGGGGAACAATTATTTCGATGGAGATTCGATTTGATCTCTTTTTCCAACCAAAAGCTTCTTTCCTCGCAGTTCCCGACCGGGCCACACTTGCGGCTTTCTCCCACGTCCGGAAATTTCTCGGCTCAAAACGAACCGCTTTACTAGGTACATAGGTACTTAAGGTACAATGTAGGTAAGTCTGTACCTCTTGCCAAGCAAATTAATCTACATGTATTTTGTATCTTTTTTGTTTTTCTTAAGCAGGCTAGCTGGTAACTTCTATTTGGTGGTCCTTGCGCACGGTACATGTACAAGTAATCACGATCCCATCCATACATACGGACGTACCTAACCTAAGATGTATGTACTAATTCGGAAGCGACTCATCTCATGCAGCCTATATTAATATTATCTAATCATTTTTCTATTTGCTCTAAGCCATTTTGGGCTCTTCTTTACCAGGTTCACTAACAATTTTTTTTTTCCTTTACTTTCTACATACCACATGCAGCAAGGCCAGCACTGAGCAAGCCCAGCAAGCCCAGCAGCCAGCAGTTCAGCACGTAGCAACAGACCAGCCCGGCCGCAGCAGTAGGGCATTCTTTGGATTCTTCCTACCCAGTCCCTACTCATCTCTTCTCCACTCATAAGGACAACACCTGGCCAATAGGATCCGCAGCGGACTCAACCTGTGGCTAACGGGCTAGACTTTCCAATGAAGCCTTCTTTTCCAAGTCCTCACACTCGTCGTCTCTGACTTTTTCCCCTTCTAATCTCACCATTTCTCCCCCTTCTTCACTCTCGTTGCTTGTTTGTCCTCTCTATCTTATAGAATAGGGTGGTGCACTACGGTGTGGTCCACCCTTCCTACAAATCAATATCGCAAAAATTCACTTTAAACCCATCTTTCGCGCTCTCTTTATTCGCACCTTTACCTCTCGAATCCTAAATTCTTACCCGAATCCCCTGCTAAGTCAACACCACGCACTCGCGACTTCCCGACGCCGACGTTACGCCCCCAACATGTCCGACTCTGACGACGACATGCCTCTGGCTCGCACCAACGGCCATCGTAAGTCGACTTTCTTTACTTGTGACTGATCTAGGTAGTCTGTCGTACTGGTGTCACTTGCCTTGCGCCGTCCCATCATACTAAATTCATACTCCTTCATTCACTTATCAAACTCGGACCTATCTACCTGCCTTTTTAGTTCCTTCCAGCCTCGCTTTTACTGACGCGCCTTCCGATATTTTAGTCTCGACCTCGAGTAATTCCAAGACCGGAGGTAAAGCCATGAACCACAGCGCTACCAAACCCAAGCCTGCTCCTGTGTCCATTCGCAACGGGCCAGTCAACAATATGTCTCCGCAAACAAACGGCAATGGAAAGCGCAAGTCGAGGGTTTCTACCAATAACGTGAGCTATAAGGACGCGTCAGAGTCTGAAGATGGGCGATTGGTATGTTCGGATTTGTTTACACCGGAACCGTGCCGCAGTGTAGAAAGCCTCTGTACTAACCCTTAAATCAGGCGAAGCGTCAAAGAAAAGTTGTTCCCGACGACTCCGACGATGAGATTCTCAGCAAGAGGAAGACTAAGCTACCACCTGCTGCTAATGAGACTGCTATGATGGAAGATTCGGACGATGACCAGCCGCTGAATGCCAAACTTGCTTCTAAGAGGAAGGCTATCGAAAAGAATGCTGAAAAGGAAGCAAAGGCCATCAATGCGAGCGCTTCTAAATCGAAGAAACCTACTCCAAAGAAGGCCGTCAAGGATGAGTCTGATGATGATGTACCCTTAGCAGGTGCCAAGGGGAGAAAGCGACCATCCAACGGCGTCAATGGAAAGGGGAAGGCTAACGGCGTCAAGAAAGAAGAGTCTGACTCGGATTTGCCTATTCGCAAGAAGGCAAAGACCGCTCCTGGCAAGGCTAATGTGAAGGCTGAGAAGTCTACCCCAGCTAAGAAAACTCCAGCCAAGAAAGCCAAGAAGGAGGTGAGCGAAGAGCCAGCCGAAGGTGATGATGAGGAAGAAGAGTACCGTTGGTGGGACGCCCCCAAGAAAGAGGATGATAGTGTCAAGTGGACTACTCTTGAGCACAATGGTGTTCTCTTTCCCCCAGCCTACGAACCCCTTCCAAAAGATGTGAGGCTCATTTACGATGGCACTCCGGTAAATCTTCATGTTGAAGCTGAAGAAGTTGCTGGTTTTTTCGGATCGATGCTCAACTCAACCCACAACGTTGAGAATCCTACCTTCCAAAAGAATTTCTTTAGCGATTTCAAGGAGGTGCTCGACAAAACAGGCGGAGCAACAGATCGAAAAGGCAACAAGGTCAACATCAAAGAGTTTTCCAAGCTAGACTTCAAACCCATCTTCGATTATTATCATGCCAAGAACGAGGCGAAGAAAGCTCGCCCGTCTGCCGAAAAGAAGGCGGAGAAGGCGGAGAGGGATAAGGCCGAAGCCCCGTATATGTACTGCAAATGGGATGGTCGCAAAGAAAAAGTCGGCAACTTCCGAGTCGAACCTCCTGGGCTGTTCCGTGGTCGTGGCGAGCATCCCAAGACTGGTAAAGTCAAGAAACGAGTTATGCCTGAACAAATTACCATCAACATCGGCAAGAACGCAATGGTCCCGGTCCCACCTGATGGCCACAAATGGAAGGCTGTTCAGCACGACAACAAAGCCACATGGTTGGCAATGTGGCAAGAGAACATCAATGGTTCATACAAGTATGTCATGCTCGGTGCGACCAGTGCTGTCAAGGGCCAGAGTGACTTCAAGAAATTCGAAAAAGCTCGAGAGTTGAAGAAGCATATCGCAAGGATCCGCAAGGACTATACAAAGGATCTGAAGGCAGAAGCCATGGCTGACCGTCAGCGAGCCACAGCAGTCTACCTGATTGACAAGTTTGCTCTGAGAGCTGGTAACGAAAAAGACACCGAGAATGAGGCCGAGACAGTGGGTTGTTGCTCGCTCAAATACGAACATGTCACCCTCCAAGAGCCTAATACCGTCATTTTCGATTTCTTGGGTAAAGACAGTATTAGATTCTACGATGAGGTCACGGTTGACCGACAAGTGTTTAAAAACCTTCGAGTATTCAAGAAGCCACCGAAGAAGGAGGGCGATGATATCTTTGATCGCCTAACAACTGCGCAGCTGAACAAGCATCTTTCCTCTTATATGGCTGGCTTGACAGCGAAAGTCTTCCGTACCTATAATGCTTCTTACACCATGTCGAACCTACTCAGGGACTTAAAGGTCTCAGATTCTACCATGGCAGAGAAGATCAAACTATACAACGATTGCAATCGGGAGGTTGCTATTCTTTGTAATCACAAGCGGACTGTCGGCGCAAGCCATGAAGCTCAAATGGAAAAGCTTGGTGATCGAATCAAGGGCCTTAAGTATCAAAAGTGGCGAAACAAGCTGATGCTCCTAGATGTGGACCCTAAACAGAAGAAAAAGAAGGGCGCTGAATTCTTCGAAATGGACTCGGATCTCAACGAAGCTTGGATCCTAGAGCATCAGAACTTTTTAGTCGAAGAGCAGCGAACGAAGATTCAAAAGAAGTTTGAGAAAGACAACCAAAAGCGCCAGGAGGATGGCGAGAAGCCTTTCCCTGATAAGGAGCTTAAGGAGCGCCTCCAAGCTGCAGATGAACTAGCGAAGAAATTCAAGAAAGAGAATAAGACTAAGAAGGTGGAAGCCGAAGGAAGAGGTCCGACTGTTGAGAAGATTGAAAGCAACATCCAGAAGATAGAAGAACGTATCAGAACCCTGGAGCTTCAAGCTGCCGACCGTGATGGCAACAAGGAGGTTGCTCTCGGCACTTCCAAGATCGTAAGTTATATTAGAGACATGCTTTGGTTAAAGCGGATGCTAACTTGGTGTCTAGAACTACATCGATCCCCGTCTCACCGTTGTCTTCGCCAAGAAGTTTGACGTTCCTATTGAGAAGTTCTTCTCTAAGACTCTGCGTGAGAAGTTCAACTGGGCTATCAAGTCGGTAGAGGACGACGATCACTGGGAATTTTAAAGCGATGAGCTATCTATCTATTATTATTACTCTGGCGCATCATCATCAGTATATTTATTGTATAGTACACATCCCGCTAATGGCGTTCGATGGTTAGAGAGACCTAGAAAAGAGATGACAGCCGGGGATGGAGGTCTCAGAAGCAGACCGGGGGAAAGGAAGAAGGCGTAAGGACTTGTGAGAGGAGGCATAAAAACACTTCTACAGCATGACCAGCTACGATCGACGAGCATGATCGGACGAGCCAGGTACTTTAGCATGGCGCGGTGCATTCCGGGGGGTGCGAGTGTCGGGGTCGGTTCATGGACAATTCGATTTGTGTCATTTCTACTAGAGTAATTCTAGACGGACAGAAATACGATGCATTATTAATTTCCTCATCTTGGACTAAATTTGCGAAGCAATACCTACCTACCTACTCGTACAACTATACGTAGTAGTGATTATGCATGTAGTTAAGATCTAATTATTACATATGTACTGAGAGGCTATTCGAAATGGATTTGTTGTAAAATAATGGTAGGGCAATATGGTAGAGCAATATGGCTGGGTAGTATCTAGGCAAGTAATAGCCTATCTAGCCTTGTTCACAACTAGGCAGAACATGACGGAATCAATATATGCGCTTACTCGTTACACACCAGCTAAGCATATATGAAGCGCCCGACCATACAGATGAATTCGATATATTGGATCTTTCACACTGCAGCAGCCCATACGTCATGCAAGCCACCTGTATATGATTCGCCGGTATAACGTGCATGAGCTAGAGCCAGCTAGAGGTCTTCCATTCCCGTCCATCCATGTCCTGTCCTATCTATGCGAATCCTATGCGGCTCAAAAAAGAAAAAAGAAATCTTTGGAAAAAAAAAAGGGGGGGAGGGGGTTTCTTTTTTTTTTTTTTTGGAAGGCCTGCATGCTATGTTACCGCCTTTTTAAAGGTCCGTCAGATATAAGCCTCTAGGTAGGTAGATAGGGTGTACTTTGGTAGCTATGTAGATGGATGGATGTATGTATAGGAGGTAGGTAGGTATCTAATTACACGGCTAAGGGGGGTTAAGTATGTATGTATTGCAGGTATCATGGCTCCAACTCCGACTTCAACTCCAACTCCAACTCCAACTCCAACGGCAGCTAGTAAGTACCTAACCTAACCTAACCTAAAGTAAATCTTGCCAAGAACAAGTGCGATTTCCCTACTTAGGTACCTAGTGACCGTTGGTGGTGGTGGTAGAAAAGCTCTCGCGCACGGCAGCGCCGAAGCGTTCGATGGCGGCGTCCATAGCGGCCTCGGAGGCGGCGGCGAATGTGGTGCGGAAGAATAGGCCGCTGGGCGGCTGGTCGCGCTCGGCGCGGAACCAGGACCCGCGGATGGCGAGGACGCCCTTGTCGATGCACGAGTTGAAGATTTCTTCTTCGATCTCGAGGATGGATTTGGTGGTGGCTTGTGGGTGTTGCGTGTGGTCGACTTGGAGCCAGAGCTGTAAGGGGGGAAGGGGGGGGTGTTTGTTAGTTATCTAGGTAGTTATGATATAGAGGGGTTGTGGGTGTGAAAAGGGGGTAAGGGGGTGACATGGTAAAGGGGGGAGAGAATAGGAGAATAGGGGGGAGGGGGTAACTTACAAACATACCCGCAGCCGGCGGAACCCAACTCACGATATCGCGAGGGAGATGCTTCTCGCACGCAGCCAGGATCGTGTCCCTTCGTCGCGTGTACTCGAGCCGCATGTGCATCAGCCACCTCAGATATCCCTCGTGTCCCCACGTCTCATCCACGAGCTTATACATGAGGATCTGGGCGATCCCGCTGGGGCCCTGGCTGCAACACTCGGCGTGCCGGATGTACCTCTCGACGATCTGCTCGCTGGCGGTAATCCAGCCGACCCGCGACCCCGGAACAACCACCTTGCTAAACGAGTCCAAGCGCATCACTCGCCCGTCTACGTCCATGCTGAGCAGACTAGGGACCAGGTTGTCGAGGAATTCGTCGACGGTAGCGGGGGCCGGGACGGCGGGGGTGTTGGGCCCGGTATACGGTTGCATCTGCAGGAAATAGTACGGCTCGTCCTCGAGGATGTAGACGTCGTGTTTCTGGCACACGGCGTAGATATCCCGGCGGCGCTGTTCGCTCTGCGTTGCGCCGGTGGGGTTTTGCCCCGAGGGCACCGTGTACAGCAAGGTGGGTTTCCGGGCGCCTCTGGACTTCTCATCCCAGGACGACAGGATCTCGTCCATGCTCTCGGGCAGCAGACCTTGTCCGTCCAGACGCACGCCGAATACCTTGATTCCCAGGGGAGCCGTGGTTTCGAGGGCTGTTGAAAAACTGTATTCTTCCGTGAGTATCGAGTCTCCTCTCGCGCGATCGCAGAACATTCTCAGCGCTTGCTCGAGGGCCCCCGTGCTCCCGATGGTCAAGGCACATCGCCAGTCCGAGTACGGCAGGTCGCGGTGGACAAGCTCTGTGTGCTCGGTGACCCAACGTAACAGCTGAGCGGAGCCAATGGCTTGACCGTAGTTCATGGCGATAGACAGATCGTACACGCCGCCGTTCTCGTCCTTCGCAACATCATACTTGCCTATCCTGACATCCTGGCCCGACAAGGCCGTCTCTGCTTCAGTGAAGTGAGGCGGTGTGGGCACGTGCATGCTCAGGGAGTCGATAGGGAAGTTCTCCGCCGACGGCAATCCGCCGCCGAGGGAGATGAGCCCGGGCTTCTTGAGGTGCTTGGCTGCCAGCTTGAGCACGCAGGCTTCCCGGGCGATAGACTCTTGGCTAAGACGGTCTAATGGGGGTAAGTGTTAGAGAGCTAAGACGTTATTTCTATATAAGCGAGAGGGAGTGGATGGGTAAAGTTGACTTACGATCCCATCGTTTTGCTTTGGGCTTATCAGGCGCTTGCTATACCGCAACATCCATACCAAACGTCAGTTAAAAAAAACTCTAGCAGATAAAACAGGTAGATACGGCATAAGACAGGAAGACAGCGAGTTTTCTCACAGGAGACTTGAACATGTCACTATCCGAATAAGACGCCGTGGGAGCATATAGCTTGCCTGCCCTTGCCCTCCGCTCCTTGATACCATCGATCGTCAGCCGGTCGTGGGCCTGCTGGCCAGCAACAGGATCCTTCTCCACCAACATCTCGCTTGCAATATTTGAATACCGACGGTGCTGGGAATTAGTAGAGAACAAGTATTTTCTAGAAGCCGGTACAAAGCGTCGAGTCGAACGAACAAGTAACAACGACGACGACGAGAGGGTGCGATAAGGATTGCAGCTAAGTCTCGCCATTATGTCCAGGAGCAAAGAATTCTAAAGTTACAAGATATATTACAGGCATCAAATTAATGATTACCTAAGAGACCCGAAAATTATAGACTCGTGGTCGAAAAGTTGTTGTCATAATTGCGGCTTTCCCTTTGTTCACCGAGTCACACTCGCACTCATAACGGGCCTCGGTGCGATAACGGGGGACGATAGTGGGGCTCCGGCCGATTGTAGCCGGCCTTAACTAACCAATACCATTCCCCGGTTTATACCACCTATTGACGTTTTAGGTCATACGTAATTACTAATTACCTAGGTACCTACTAGAGTATTTCTATCTCGTAACTATCTCCAAATACCAATGCGAGAATAACGTACTAAGGTTAGGCTAATTCACATCGGAATTATAAAAGATATGATCATCTATTACGTTATAATACTCACCTTCCTGACCTATCTAGGTAGTTATAACTATAACTATGCTAAAAAAAAACTATGCTTTCCTAACTCATAATAATGCATGTGACGCCCTATGTATGATGCCTTGTCATATCTTATCTATAACGATCATCCATCATATCAAGTCTAGACTTTTGCTGCTTGTTTGCTCCATTATACGCCCTTTACTTGCAGATGCCAACGCCAATGTTTCCCTATCCCGTGACCCGAGTCGATGTCTATTTTACTTCCATAGGTGCTTCTACCTATAATTATTACAAATTGCTCATAGTAAGCTATGTATGAGTAAGGAAAATATGTTCCTAAATATCGAAAATTCGGAATAAATAGTGCTTTGAGAAAGAGGGATCCTTCTTAGATAGCTAGGTAGTTAACGGGTATTAGCCTAGTTATTGGTCTGGTCTTTACGACGACGGCCCATATTCCGGCGTTAAGGTACCGAAAGGCCCGGTGATGAGGCGGTGAATCTTTGACTACCCAGGCTGATACTGCGATTGCGCTCTTTAAAGCGCAAATCCCGAAGAGGCAGTTATCCTTGCATACGTACGGCCTTTCCGTCCCGGTCGCCGCGATGGTCTTCGACTGGACAGAATCAGGTGCCTCAGGTACGTCGGGCTGGGGTTAATACGCTCGTATCGATTGGCCAGTTGATTTGCTGATAGACGTAACCGTAAACCTGCGCGGACACGTTCCCTAGTCCCAGGACTAAAGCATATGTCTACTTATTTGCGGTCTCCGATTCAGGAGAACTTGTGACGCACCCGGCCGTAAAACGTAAAATCCCCTACTCATAAGAAGTCATCCTCATAATAACACTTATTTTGCTTTTCGTCGTTTCTTACTCCGCTGTCTACCTCAGCGCAGTTGTCATACCGCAGTGCTTCAAGGCCAAAACCTTCGGCTACTCGCTAAGATGGCGCAGAGGGTGAAGATAAAGATGAAGTGGTACGTAGGGCCTAAAGAATATACATGTTAGTCTCATATCTGGGCGGCGGGGGAGGGACCTATGAACATACGTAAGATAGTTGAACTTGATGGTACTATCTTCCCCTCCGAAGTCATAACCCAACCCTCGGGTAAGTTATTAGAGGAGGTTGAGCCCTGGTTATCTGAACCTCCTATGCCTCCGGCAGGAACATTAGCCGATCCGGTCGCAGTCGAACCGCTCGCAACCGCAGTGCTAGTTAAAGTGCCGGCGTTACCCAAATTACCATTGACTTGGCCGCCGTCCGCCTGGATGGATTGCCATGAGCCGGAAGTATCACCGTAAGTATAAGAGTGACCTGTGCTGTAATCTGTCACCTTGACACTCTTTACGCTCATGCTAAACGGCCCCTGGGAGTAGTCGGTAGGACCGCGCGCCCAGTCGATCGTGCCCTGGGGATTATTAGAGTCGCCCCCAGACCATGCGCCGAATTTAACCTGCATTGGCGTTTGAGGGTATTGGCCCTGTTCGGCTTCCGAAGCTTGGAGCGTCCGCACCACGGTTCCGTCCACGGTCCAGACAACTCGATCACTTGTCCAATCTATCACGTAGGTAACGAAACCACCTTGGTTGTTTCCCATTTCATGAAACTGCCCACGGTTATAGGAAGCAGTTATCCCCTTTCCAAAATAGTTGGATTGTACCTCGGTCGAGTCGGCCCCCAGCCATTCCCAGTCGATCTCGTCGAGACAGTCGGATTGTAATACGAAGGAAGACACGATGCCGGCGCCAGGGGCAGCTTTCAAGCTAAGTTCGACTCGACCAAACATGATGTAGAAGACAGAAGAAAGCTGGGGCGCATCGCCGCTCTGTCTTACCGTAAACGTTACGCCGTCGGAGCCGTATGTGGGTTGGCCGCCTGATGTGGTGAAGGAGTTCACCTCTCCTTGCGTAAAGTCGACGTCTATGGCCATGCCAAGGGCGGTATCCGCGGGGCAGGCTAAGAGGTGTAAGCCATTGAAGTGCCAACTTGGGAGACTAGGAAGGTTGACTTACTTGAACTCAGAGGGTTGCATGATGTGTATGTCTGGGCTACACTTCGGCCTGAGAACAGCACAGAGGCCAATATTGCGCATCTCCAAATAGAAGAAGCCATGACAGCTGAAGCATGCATCTACAAGGATACGGGGATGGTGTGTGTATTGAGGGAGAGAAACAGATGTCAGAACTCCGAGTCAACGCTCAAATTATTGGTTACACTGGTAAAGAAAGTAGATCATGGGTAGTGCTATAGCGATCCTCGAAATGATCCCTCAATAGTAACGGTGTATGTATAGTATTGTACGACGTTATGCGCAAAAGGGAGATTATCTTTTGCCAAAAGGGTAAAAGAAGGGTTCTACAGATTGCAGAAAATATGCAAGTGACTCAACTGGTATAGGTAAGAATAGCAATGAGAAAGCAAGGGAAGTTTAGGGAGCGACGAAAAAGAAGAGAGATCCAACCACCCAATATATTCATGGCCCACGTAAGATCGTGGCAGATGGCAACATGGCAGCATGGCAGCATAGCAGCATGGGTAACACTACGCCGATACATCATCGTCATCTCCGACTGAAAAGAAATACGACAGATGTGAACAACACCTGCCAGGAAATGGAAGATAGTGGAACAAACAGGGTCTAGACCTTGAATACGAATATGAATTATGTGTATGTGCATGTGAGTCCATAGCAAACGATATTGGCATTGGTATTGGCATATGGTAGGTCAAAACTACTGACCGCTGGCGTTGCGACGTTAAGATGCGACCAACGGTGTCCCACGCTAAAGTTAATAGAGCTTAGTTGACTCAAATAGCGCCAAGCCAAGTGGCTCATAAAAGCTGGTTTAGCTGGTTTGGCTTAGCAAAGTGGACCTGACGTACCCGGAACAGCTGTGCCGGGATAAATCCATGAGGCTGGAGATGGATGACCTTTTTTTTAAGGGTGGCTGGAAAGTTTCGGGAAGCAAGGCACTTAGACTTAAGAAGGACAATTTAATGGAATCAATCTCCTTCCTCCTTCCGTGTTGGCAACGCCTAACCCGAAATCTTGGTTCCTTTCGGGAAGGAACATTACGTATGTTCCTTAACGAACTATATGTAGTGGACCTCGAGTTTTATCGGATCTCGATAAAATTACTCCAACGTCACTTTATTCTCCATCAATCAAACAGAGTCTAAAGTCGCACTGACCATAATCACATTCAACAATACCATCCAAAGCGACTGACGTCAAATCTATCACCACCATAGTCAATTTTCCTTTTAACTAGTTCTACAATTTACTTCCATGTTCTAGTCATCTATAGTCACACAATCCAAGTGTAAAAGAGTAATTCAATAGTTAAGTGGACTTTATGATGTTTAGGCACTAAGCAATCCAGCAACTATTTAACAATTCTCGCCCGTCCGGGAACGAAAATAATATTGATATTCCACATTCGCCTCGTCGGATACGCACGAGGAACTAAAACCCGAATATCACCCTATAGTATGATAATGTTAACTGACATATATATAATATATGTCTTCCCTTGATACTGGCTTCATAACACTGTCCTTGGTATCTGCGAAATAACCGCAGAACTCCAAGTACCACAGTGTTAGCCAGTCTTCTCTACTAGCTAGTATGGCTACTAGAGTTTGTAATCGACCATTCGAATGAGAATATAATAAAATGAAACGGAACGGAACGGAACGAACCCTCAGGCTATTCTAATCTGCTCGAGACAGACTACATATCACCAAAATAAAACAGCCTTATTAAGAGCCGAACTTTTTTCACCTTGCCCTCCCTCCTTTTTACATTCATTGAGGTCATCACGCCAGAAATCTCGTATCATACTATCGCATGACGATGGCAACCGTCCGGGTCCAAGATTTGATAGAGATATATCTGATGAGTGCTGGCTTAGCGCATTATATTGTCGTATCTCGCCGCCATTCATGTGAGAAAACAGCTCGTCATGGGGGCCAAGCATGAAGAACGAGTGTCCATCCACATCACTCTCAGCACCAGGAGGTATCAGTTTTGGGTCCCGCGCTTTTTTCCTGTGACGGCTGTTTTGGTTGAAGCGTCTAGATGGTTCAGTATAAGGTCCACCTCAATGCATCCAAAAGTTGTCTAAGATAATCTACTAACCTTGAACAATCCTCAACAAATAAACTCATAAAAGCTATCAGGAGAGGAACACGACCGAGCAGGAAAGATACCGAGACGTTGGAATGCGGTATCATGATGAAGATAACTGCAACGATCATAACCAAGGCCAAGAAAAAGTAATTGACGACGGCCTCCCAAATAAGAGCATTATGGACGAGTGTAGAGATCCCGAAGAGCCATAAAATGCTTACAGTGTCAGCACGACTCAATCAACGATGGGATAGGTACCTCACAGGTATCGGTAAAAGGCCTCTTCGTGCTGGAAAGCTGGTAGGAGCATAGCAGCACCGACCATGATACCTCCAGACAGCACTCTAATACGGTCGAACATGACCTTGTCCATACGTGCCTCAGAATAATCAAACATTGCCAACCGACCGGGGCGGCTAGTCGTATTAAAATTTGGGTGATGGTACGAATCAAAAGCCGCCCGTATACCATATATTATATAAATTTCAATAAACAGTTGAATGAGTGGACGCAATAAGGGATCTCTACAAGTGCGGAGGAAGGAGATTATTACCTGCTGAGTGTGGCTGGAGGAAACGGCGCCTGTTTACTTGTCCAGCCAGAGGCCTCTCTATTTAACAAGCAGGCGATTTTAGGAGGGCACCCGTTCTCATAATACAATCAACTAAAAGAGGTAGCCCGTCCTATCCGAGTAGAGAAGAGGCTATCGCGTTGCAGCCCAATATCTGTCTATACACGCCTTTTCGCCGCCGTGCGAAGAGGGGGGGTTGCCTTTGAGTCATTCAGGAATGGCATATAAGTAGGACTTTTCTTGTTAGCGGTTTGCCTAACTACAGTTCAACCAACAAATATATACCGAAGGAATACTCACCGAAAATCTAATGTATCATCGTAGGCATCTTATTGGAAGATGCTGTCATATAGCCTCGCAGTCAGCCTAGCATCGAAGGCTGCAGCTCACGGATATGTAACTTGCTGCGCCCCTTGGAGCCCAACTGGTATCATGCGGAGTAACACAACGCCCTGTAAAAAGTGTCATGATGTAAGACAAAGATCGTCAGAGTGTCAGCTAACCCTGCCTACATCACCTAGACTCCAATTTCTATAGCCATGCAAGCCGGCGAAGTTCAGCGAGGCCATTGGCCAACGCGTAAGCACCAAATTCGACTTTAGACCATCTCGGGAGAAAGTATAAGGGTCTCAGGGTAGAATGGTATTTTGATCGCTGACATCTTCAAATCGGTGCGCCTACATCATACGTCCTCCGATGTGTCTGAATTGAATCTACCGATCTTTCCTTCGCACATTCTTCAGATGTACGCAACATGTCGTTCATTCGGACCCCCTGGAAACCAGGTCTATCACCAACAATACATATTACCGTCACGGCGAAAACCCTCGCTTTCAGAACTTGCTGAGCTAGTTCCCGCCGTGACTTGTAGTTTTCTTACGACGTGTTATATCGTTCGCGCGGAATCGGCGCGGGGGGATGTTCTTGTAAATATCGACGTGCGTTGTCAGCCCAACCTCTCCCTCTCTTTTTTTTATTGATACCCTCCCGCTGAAAGCAACCGTTCCGACTCTCTAGTCTTATAGCCAAAGCCTCCTCCGCGCAGTCAGGCTCGACCTGCTGCTAAAAAACGTGCCACCGGGACTGGCACTCGGCTCCTGTCTGGTGTTGGGGTGTTGTCTATCGTCGTACACCCACCGCCGCCGGGACCGGGATCCGTACCAACCCGTCGTGTTCGCGGTCTGGATCGTCTGGGCCGTGTGCATCGGCTGGGGAACGGGCATAAGCGCCAACATGGTCACGCTGGGCATCGTGCCGTGGGCCGCATGCGCCGCCATGCTTAGCAGTTTCATCGGACACGTAGGAGCACGATGGGTCTTTAACAGGGAGATGTGTCAAGGCGTCTATACCATGAGTGTGATGAACGACAAAGGGATATCTTTCGATATGTGATTTCCGGCTGTTTTTTTCCACCATAAGGTTAAGAACTGCTCTTCTTCTAGCACGGAGACATTAAACGACGCTTTGACAGCAGTTACCGTGCTGTTAGTGCGGCTGGCGCATGTCTTTTTCGATATCTGTGTGTTATCCTTTTTTTTTCCTTCGGCACTCGAGGTTCCGACTTTCTTCACACATTTAGCGGCAGGGTCGCCTATAGCTGCCAATGACTAGAGATACCTACGAGAAATTAATAGGAGGAGGTAATTTGATTTCATAAATCGAGGGAGGTTATTTAAAGGAAAGGGAAGAAGGCCATGTAAAGCCATATTATGGAATCTACGATCTAACGGCGTTGTGCCATTATCACTCGCTTTATAATTCGCTTTATAATCATATACCTGTCAGATAGAACTAATAGAGACGAAGTCCTCACTATATTCCTTAACACAGTGGAACTGGTAGACATGCTATGGTTGCGCGTATCGTTTCTAATAAACACCATATTTATCCTCAGTAGTATCTTTGTGGCCTGTTGCGGGTTTACTGTGATGGTTCGTCTTTACAAACTGAGCCTGGCCACCTATATAATGATATTGGAGAGAGTGGAGGACAGACTGTTATTACTGCTTGATCACCCCCTATTTCCCTATTTCCCTATTTACACGATAGTATAAATAATAACCAAGTAAAATAAATATATAGTGTTGCTCGAGTAAAAGCTAGTCTATACTACACATTTCATATAAATTTACATGATAAGACATAATAACAGGCATAAATTTGCTTTCTCTCAGAAACCAAAAGGTGAAGACGACGTCGGATAAAAATAAAGATGCAACATAGGTACCCACGTAAACAAACATTTCTTCCGAAATGATATATCACTTTAGAAAGTCACACACACACCAGCTCGACACTTTTATTTATATAAAGGCAGCCATTTTAAAGGCACTTTAGACCCCCCACATACCTTTCTAAGCAGCTCAATCCTTCCGACATGTCTACCTAACCTATTGATTGTGTTGGTCAGCGGCGCACCGCTACTACCTACCTACCTACTACACACCCCGTCAGCTCGGCCGAAATAAATCGGACGAGCAAGAATTATGTACTTTAAAAAGGAATGACTGCCCAGACGCAACCAAAATTATTCAAACCGTCGTCAATTAGAGTTATACCGGCATATAGCTATACAGAAATTTGTCTTTCGTAGGTAGTTTCGTTTCTCGTATTCTGCGCGATAGCAGAATTGACCTGGTTAATGCTAGAAGGTATAGTATGATATATACGTGAAGTCACGGAGACTTGGATTCCATTAAACAAACAGCTTTTCTTACGAAGTCTCTACTTCTTCCTTTCATTCTTTTAATATTTCCTTTTTTCTTCTTTTTTTCTTTTCTGCTTTTCTATCATCTCACACCTTCTTCGCCTCCCACAGCGCAACCCTAACGCCATCTCCCGGTTTAATCACAACCTCGGACTTGAGCTTGGGTTTGCCCCCGTCAATCTCGTGCATGAAACTCTCCACGCGCTCGAACCGTTGGAACACGCGCGTGAGCACGTACGCCATCTCCGTCAGCGCGAACTGCTGCCCGATGCAGATGCGCGGGCCCCCGTTAAACGGGATGTAGCACCACGGCTTCGGCTGCCAGGAGAACCATCTTTCTGGACAATACACATCTGGGTCCGATCCGGCCGGGTACAGGTCGGGCCGGCGCTGCATCACTAACGTCGAATATCCGATCGCCGTGCCCTTTAGCACCGGCAGCGGCAAGGAGCCGTCGGGCCCGCCGCCGCGCGGGAGTGTCGTGTCTTTGAGCGCGGTGCGTACGTTGTACGGCACAGCGGGGTACAGGCGTAGGGTCTCGTTGATCACGTTCTGTAAGTACTTCATGCTCTTCAGGTCGGCGTACGTAGGCGTGCGGTCTAGGCCGACGTGCTCGATGATCTCTTGGCGGATTTTGTGCACGACTTCGGGATGGCGGCCGAGCTCATAGAATGTGAAAGATAGTGTGGAGGCGGTGGTATCGCGGCCGGCAAGGAGCACGGCGACGAGTTGGTCACGGAGTACTTTCCGGTCGCGAGTGAAGGAGGCAAGCTCGTGTAGGAAAGTATAGTCCTGGTCGGACTTGGTCTTGGATGCCAGTTCCTCGGGACTGAGGCGCAGTGCGCGGTCGATATAGATGTTGCAGAGTTCGTTGACCACCTTGAGGCCTTGGCGGAAAGTCTTCTTAGGCACGAACGGGTCGAGCGGGCCAGCACGCGCGCGGATATTCTGGACTCTCTGCACCTCGTTGAAAGCGTCGGCGAAGGGCTCACGTGGTTTTCTGTTGCGTGTAAGCTATTTCCGTCCCCTGACAAGGGCAGATGGGAAGCGCAGGGTATTCTTACGTGAGGGACTGTACGTCCAGTCCTAGCAGGAAGTCGGTAGCGACATCGAGAGTATATCTATATAAGAGATCACAGATATCGAATGGTTTACCGTTACCGGCCTCAATATCGACCTTTTGCTCCTTGCCATCCAGAACACCGCCATTCGCTATAGCTTTGAAGAAAGTTTCAAGATGAGACTCAAAGCAGTTCAAGTCGCTGATACGCTCCCTCGAGAATTGAGGGCGGATGAGCTGTCTACTAGCATGCCACTGATGGCCGTCGGTAGCAAAGATACTGTCGCCGAGGAACTCGCTCCACTCCTTATGGAACTGCTCGCCCTTACCAAAATCCGCGAACTGGGTAGCGAGGACCGCCTTAATGTTCTCGGGGTCGGCGGTCGTGACTACGCGGTTTCCGAGAAGGACGGACTCGGCGGTGTAACTGGGTTTATCGGCCACAAACTGGAGGAATACCTCGTAGCTTGTGTGGGTGATGGAACCGACGATCTGTTTCTTGATGATATCTATGCCTGTTCTACTTGTCAGGGTACTAACCTCTGGATAGCATTTGTCTCTCATGGACACTTACCGAACGGTGCGTTACTCTTGATCTGAAGACCCCGGACGCCGAGCCGTCGCAGTCGAACTGTTTCGTCAATTTTGACATATATAGTCCATAGGGCATAGACGACACCGAGGACTATGATGGCGGATTTAAGGGACACATGGTCCAACGCCGTTTCGATCAACCCCATGATTATGAGCAAAACGAAATGAACGAAGGTTTAGGGTAGCTGTCGAATCTAGCTCAGTCTTTGACTTCTTATACCGATCTTTATATTTAAGCGAACATAAGGTGAGTACGAGGCCAGTCATCTACGATTACTATACATTGTATCACATTGGGTCTGTCGAGAACGAATATGTTCTGTTAGACAGAACACTTCGAAGCGATACGGTCCCGCGGGGTCCGCGGGCGAGGAAACCCCAGGGGTAGAACCCAGTTCATTAGGAGAACAGGCTTCTAGCCGACAAACAGCGGTCGACATGAGTAATGTGACACAGATACATTTGGTATCGCGTTCGCTAGTTTACAGCGTTCATGGGGTATATCCCTAACCTACCTAGGTGTATCCAGTCGGGAGAGGAGGAATACAGGAGGCCGAGAAGTTGAGATAATTATTGACAGGATCGGCTGATTCATGGTCCTTGACTAAGCTATTCCACCGCTGAAGCGTTGAAGCTATACTCTTTACGTTTGGCGTGCCTATTATTCCGATTCACCTTACCCACTTGGACGTTGAAGATCGACGTTATAGGTGTGCGAATATGGTAATACCGAGGCGTCTCAGAAACCGGATGCGGGGTGACGTATTACATGACTTGCGTTTGGCACATACCTATCGTTGATTGCGTATATCGTATTTTTATTTAAAGGCGTGACGCAGATCTCGCTCTTATCCCGTTGACAGGTAGGTTAGGTAACTGTAACCTGGCCGGGTTACCGCATCTAAGGTAACTATCGTCGTGTAACGCGTAAGAACATATCTATATCTCGTCAGTCTGGCTCGCTAGAGGAAAGTTGCCGAACCCGTTTATCGTAGCTCGACGAAGCGATGACTCCATAATAACTTGAGTTAAATACGACAAGGGTATAGCTACGGATGAATTCATTACACCGATTCATCAAGAATATGAATCTGCTAAAGATTTATTGAGTATCGTGATGCCGACTCCGAACACAACAGTGGGGACTCAAGTTCTGTTGTGTTTGTTGAAGTAAAAGTATGAAATGTATTGAGGTAGATAATGTGCTGACAGAAGGATATTAGACTTTAAAGCCTTAAGACATCTGTATATAGTATGTATATAGTAAAGACGCAGCTTCTCATTGACGAGCCATGAATGTGCGGAAGGTGCAGTAAGACGTACCTAGGTAGGCAAGAGGTAGGCATAAGGGTCTTACATGATAGTCTGGCACTAGCCGAGGCAAAAGTATAAATCCTACGAATATGGGAATTGCGCCCCCTAGACGTCACTTCTTAATGTCAACTTCATATAGGTAGACTTACATTAAATTTATTATTGCCATAGAAAGACAGACTTAAACACAATCTATCACATATACCGAGTCTTACGGGCTTCGTTTCCTATTTCAACACAGCAGATATCAACTCGAGGATCAAGCTGTCATATTATCAATCCTCCATATTTAGCTCCTTTTTAGCTAGATATGTAAAAGTATTAAGTATGTACAAGAAGATCGTCGTTGACGCGAAGAGCGCGGCGCTAAATTTTTTTTTGAGGCGTGATGGTATAGTCCTTTATTGGAAGAGGCACGTATTAGGATCCATACCCTGCGTGCAGTACACCATTTGAATTGGCTCGGCCCTAACCCCACGCGCCAACATACGCTCGCGGAACTCAGCTAGACGCGGCGCTGCGTCGAGCTGCGTTCGGTTCTCTCCCGCGGCGTCAAGGCGGCCCGACCAGAGCACTTCGCCTGCGGCACTAGCGCGCGGCCATAGGATACTGTCAAGATTAACTTCGTCAATAGCTTCCGCCCATGCACCGACTTCACCGCCGATGACTAGTTCAGCCTCTTCGTCGGTTAGGCCCGCGCGCGGGTCATACGAGTAGATCAGACGCCAGTTCTTGGTTGGCCCACACCAGTCGTTGAATGGATAGTTCTCCTCGAAGGACTCGCCCTCGGCAAAGTTAAGCCATTGGCCGCGGCCGCAGTCGAGGTACTGGGATTGTTGTTAGTAATGGTTCAGAAATGGCTTAAGAGTGCTGAATCTACTTACCCAAAAGTTGTAGTTACTAGTAATGACCTTGTGGCCATTAGCTGTGAGGCTCTTAATAGCCGCGTCTCCAAGCCAGGATTGCACCACAACGTCGTCTCCAATAGTAACGTTGTAGCTCGCAGGGATCTCTTCCCAGACCATAGGTACCAAGCCGGCCTTGCGCACTCGCGCGTGGTGCTTGTCGATGAACTTTTGTAGGAGTGGCACGATTACCGATGAATCGTTCGTACCAACCGTAGGGTCGAGGTTGTACTCGTTGAAGTTGACCTCGTCACCACCCGTATGGAAGTAAGCTGAGTACGGGGCGAGCCTTGGCAGGAGATCGTCCATCAACGTGTCGAGGAAGGGGTCTACCTGAGGCTCGTTGAGCTTGAGCTGACCGCAAGGAGGCTCGGCGCAGTAAGTTGTCCACGGAGATGCGCCCCAACCCGTAATCAAGTCCGGATGCGACAGAGCCGCGACGCCGAAGTGTCCAGGGGAGTCGATCTCAAAAATAGCTTGTACACCGCGCTGGATCGCGTACGTCTGGATGGCTGCCACGTCGACAGGCGAGTATGTCTTTCCCTGAGCATATGCGCCTTTCTGGTGGAGTTCTGGAAGCGAGGGGATCTCCAGCGGCCAGGACTGCGAGTCCGTAGCGTGGATATGAAGTCGGTTCAACTTGCTCCACGATAAGGCATCGATGGTTCGGTAGATGGCGTCGAGGGGAAGGTAGTTTCTAGAAACGTCAAGAAGGATACCTCGGTGGTCATATTGAGGCGCGTCGGTAATCTTGACCGGAGCTAGCTTGGTGTAAATAGGACCCTTGGAGTGCTTAAAAAACAGCTGCGAGAAACTCTCAAGAGCTCGAAGAACACCCGTGGAGGAGACGGCTGTGATCCTGGCCTTGCCGTTGGCGTTGAGAGTTAGGTTGTACGACTCGTCAACATCACCCGCGAGGGGCTTAAACGTCTTTGCCGTGTCCTTTCCAGTCTGAACAATCTCGAGCCAAGTTATGTAAGTCTTGTGCTGCCAGAGACTTGGTTCCGTCTGCTCGAGCGCTAGTCGCGGGTACAACTTCCACGGGATATAATTATTATCCAGGATATTCTTCACCATACGTGAGACTCCTCCTTTGACGATCTCCTTGCTGGAGAACTTGGGGCCGCCGAACGGGATGTAATTCTTGATCCAAGGAATCTACCAAATAAATTAGTTTATGTTAACATTTGCAGCATGGCCTAGATGCCTAAAAGAAAAACTAGCATACTTTATCTCCATTGTAAGTAACTAACAGAACGTCTCCTATCCAAAGCGTAGAGTTGCCCGTGCTAATGGACTCCGGAATCGGCCAGATAGCCTGGACCGACGTGACGGTAAGCAGTAACAATGAGAGGACGGCTTTCGACCACATGACGCCGATGGTAGAAGGTTGTAGAACACGAAAACCAAGAAAAGACGGAAGGAGGATGGAATTAATGAATGTCTAGGAGTGGATATCGATCTTTAATACAGATCTTATCCAATGCTTTCCCCCCAGCTAGGCGCGTCCAACGATTGCGACGATAAGCTGATTCGAGGCCGGGGTCCGTTTGCCGTTCCAACAAACAACTCCAACTCCTACGAGGTGTCCCTATGACAGCTGTACGAGGTGTCCTCTCAGCGTCGCGAACCGGGTTTTTGGAGCCGGCTTCCTATCCAGACTAGGGCGCAGCTACTCCTGCAATTATAGGCAATCTACCCGAGAGGCGATAGATGGAGGAGGGCAGGTCGAATAGGTCGGAAAGCTGCCTCCAAGATCCCGGGATTCGTCCTTCGCTATCTCTCCCGCTAGCACGCGTCGCAACGTTACTTTGTTAGACGGTGCCGTCGTGTCGGTTCTGCGGCGACGACTGCGTGATAAGGCGATATGCACTGACAGTTGAACGAAGGTTGCTGAACCTGGAGAAAAGCTAGGTGGCGGGGAAGGAAGTTTTATTATTTTCTTTTTTTATTTCTAGACATTTTTAGGTATGTATTGTTCCCCTACATACATACACGGGAATGGGAAAGTAGATCTCTATGCAGTACGTGCTTAACGAGATTGATATGATTGATTGGTTCGTTAATTAATGCAGGTCCTCTTCTTTCATCTAAAGGATCGAGAATAAATGCCCACTCGGCTAATCTTTGCACATAAACGGTGCCAGGGGCAATGTTCTTTTCGGGACAGCTCATTAAAATAAAAATAAAAAGATCCCAAAGCGACCCTTGGCAATTGATCCTGTTATTATTGAGGTCCTCTCTCTTCTTCTCGTGTAGGATCGTACCTTAAGAGAATACGGAAGGGATCTTCACCCCATGATTTACCCTATATGGACTAAACCGATTGGACCAAGGCCGAAAGAATGGCCCAGCATAAGGTAGCATAGCATACAACGCCACCAAAGAACCTGTCAGTCAGCCTGTCCTGTTACACCAAGCCAGTACCGGTATGAGGTAGCATGGGCATCATCATCTGGGGAAAATGGAGAAGACGTCAATATATCTTAGTGTAACGGCCCAAGACCCGGCCAGGCGAATTAGCCCACAGACGGGCGACGGATACGATTTAAGTTGTTATTTAAGTTACCTAACGGGCATCCGGTACATGGCGTTCGTCGACATCTGTTCGCCGGTAGTTGGCGTTGACGTTCGCGGCCGCAAGTGCCGACGAGAGAGTTTTGAAAAAAAAAAAAAAAAAAAAAAAAAAACCATGCCCCTTGTCAAGACGGGAAGACCGTCAACAACCTAACAAACGGACCTTGCTAACTAGTACCTACCTACCTACCTACCTAACTACATAGCAGCTAGTTAGCCCCGTTTGTGCGTTAGTTTTACGCGTGCAGCCGCGTGGCAATGCCCGACAACCTTCTACCTAACCTACCTAGTTCGTGGGATCGCGCGAGTGGAAATAGGGTGCACTATACATAGAGTTAGCTCTGGGGACCGAGCACATGTCAAAATTCTACCTTCTAATAACGACTATAACAAGGCGATCATAATTGCTGACTTGCAGAATGTTAGCTGAGCCCTACGAAAAGGAGACCACGGTAATATGGACCAATTGACGAATCACGAGCAACATTAGAGACCAGGATTCAATACACTACATAATGGAGCTAAAGAATCCCAGTTCGAGAAATTCAGGCGATGGGCCTGCTTATCATGCTGTCATGTCAGGAACGGCAGACTTCCAAGGAACAGGCAGCTCATATTCGCATATGTAGGTATTCCTTCCCTCCTGCTTCCGTCGTCGTGTGGAGCCGAACCAAGCAATGCAATTTTAAGCTCCCAATGCCGCGATCCTTCAGCCTAAACCCCACCTAGCAATGGGGCTCTCACCTTATCCTATGAGAGGAAACATGTAAGAACGGTATAACTAACACAAATTGGAAAGCAATATTAAGTTAGACTATTAAGTTCCAACAGTTGATATCATTACAGGATTGATCTGCCGTACTTTTCTGAGGCCGACGGACTCTGATGTTCTTACAATTTCTGACCTAGATTCACATGAATGGACTTGGTTTGCAAGTATCCGGCGAGACCAGCTTCTCCTAGCTCTCGGCCGATACCGCTCTGCTTCACACCTCCGAACGGGACTCTGAAATCCGAATCGTTGGAAGAGTTGATCCAGACCATACCCGCCTCGATGCGCGCGGCAACGCGATGAGCAAGCTCGAGGTTCTGGGTGAAGATAGCTGAGCCTAGTCCGTAGGTGGTGTCGTTCGCCATCGTGATTGCTTGATCTTCAGCCTTGAACGGCACGATGACAACGAAAGGGCCGAACACCTCCTCTCGGTAAATCTTCATGCTATCCTTTACATTGGTGAAGACGGTAGGCGCGACGAAGTAACCCTTTCCATTGAGCGGACAAGGGATACCTCCGTCCGTTAGTGTGGCTCCTTCTGACTTACCTGATTCCACAAAGCTCAGGACCCTCTCGTACTGCGCCTTGGTAACTTGAGGGCCTTGGAATGTACCCTCCTCGAAGGGGTCGCCGACCTTGCTCGTGTTCTTGACCTCCTCCCGGAACTTCTCTACGAATTTATCGTAGATGTTCTCTTGGACGAGGATACGCGAGGTCGCCGTGCAGATCTGGCCCATGTTGCTCATGATTCCGGCATGCGCCCATTTCGCTGCTTGCTCGATATCAGCGTCTTCGAAGACTAGCAGAGGAGATTTACCACCAGTTTCGAGGGTGATGTTCTTCATGTTGACGCTAGCTGTCTTCATAATCTGCTTTCCTGTTACAGTCGAGCCGGTAAAGGCAACCTTGTCGATCTCCAGATGGCTTGCGAGCGCATGGCCAGCCTCTCTACCATACCCATTGGTAATGTTGACAACTCCGGGAGGGAAGCCAGCCTTGGGTATGAGACTCGCCAAGTATAGGATGGATAGAGGAGTTTGCTCAGCAGGCTTCATGACAACTGTATTTCCACAGGCAAGTGCTGGTCCCAATTTCCATGCCGCCATCGCCATTGGGTAGTTCCACTATGTTATTCAGATATTAGTATTCAATCACATGTGTGAGATCACATGTCAGATCCTACTAATAGGTGAGTGAAGGATGTCATGAAATATCGCACTTACAGGGATGATCTGAGCGCAGACTCCAATAGGTTGTTTCAATGTGTAGGCAAACTTCTGGTTTGTGGTGGGAATAGTTTCGCCGTGGATCTTGTCAGCATAGCCAGCATAGTATCGAATGGTATTGACGACCTCAGATACGTCTCCATGAGAGTCGCCAAGTGGTTTGCCATTATCCCAGGTTTCGATAGTGGCTAGGATATCCTCTTCTTGTTCGATTATATCCGCCAATTTATACATCATCCTACCGCGATCAGTTGGAGAGATATCTCGCCATGACTCATGGTTCAGTGCAGCTCTTGCAGCAGCTACGGCTTTATCAATGTCTTCGACGCTAGCTGCTTCGACAGAACATATTTCTTGCTCATTTCTAAAAGTTGAATTGATTAATATCTAGATGAGTACCTAAGTTATATTTAAGAAGGAAGAGGTGAGGGAAGGGAAGGGAAGGGAAGGGAAAGGGGAGTCTAACGTCGGGTTAATGCTCGCAATCTTGGCCCCTGAGCTTGATTTAACGAATTCATTATTAATAAAAAGACCGGTAGGGAGGGTAAACTTCTTGCCGTTTGGGGCAGTGAGATCAACCTTTAAGTCAGCCATGGTTGATAATAGCTTAGTTAAGTTGTTGTTTTTATTTAAACGGCGAGATGTTAAACTAGAGCGAATAGTAGCTCTGGCAATAGATTGAAACATGACCAGAGGGGGGCAGCGGTTTCCCACTTCTCGTTTTATAATATCGCTATCTTCCTATCAGGCGGGCGGACGAATGGCACTGAGGTGATTTTTTGTGGCAAGAGGTTCCCCGCATCAACACAGTTATCGGTAACTACGTTTTTAACAGTAACCATACTATAGGTACAGATGGTACAGATAGATACACCAAGTCTCTAAGCTATAGGTACCTAGATATGATGCCGCAGGTAGGCGCGTTCGTCGGCGGGGGTTTGTAGTAAGTCTAGGTACTTACCTAAGTTAATACCTAATGCTTACGTTCTTGTCCCGGTTACGCTTATCTCCTAGACTGCGATATGGAGAAACTCTATCTCTTACGTTAGGTAAAAAAACGTACCTAAGGTATACAGCCCCGCTGAATTACCTACCAATCATATTCTAATTCGCATAGGTAATCTATCAAGTATTACAGAAGAGTATAAAACTAGCGGCTCAACGGATCTTTTCTACGTGCTAAGGTAAAACGTAATGTTTTAAACGTTAGTTAACTCATAATCTAACTAGTTATTGTCTATAAGAAAAGATTCTAGTTTACATAGAGGACGAATAACAAGACACCATATGTTACTATACCCATAAACTTACACATACCATTCCCCCTCTTCAGGACATCTAACATTAGATGACTCACCGCCGAAGCCAAGGTGCATTACCGTGTTTCCACTCTCCTCGCTCATAGCCTCGGCAACGTCACTTGGTAGGCATGTAGCACCCCATTTCAGTTTCGATTGAGACAATTCCAGCAGCATTTCTTCTTCTCGGTCGTCGAAATCATCCGTTGCTAGCCTCCTGATATCATCTTCATGGTCATGGGTGTTGACGACCACTGAACTCATTAGTCATAGTTGACATTGCTATTTTGATATATGTTTAACTTGCCTTCATCGTTCGAGGGTGAACCTGCTTGGCTTTGAACGTCGGCCGGTGGGGATATAAAACAGTGGCAAGCTGCTGATATAACTAACGAGTCTGAGGCCCCTATCACCATCTTCCCCTTAGGCTTTCGCAGGCTGAAGAGCAATGGTAAGGGCATGAGGACACAACAAACAATGAAAAATGACAGCATAGCAGGTGGTGAATATCCGAAAGAGACCAAAGAGTTATCAGAAACCTGGAAATATGCTTTCGTGTTTTCCGCATAGCTTCTTCCCCAGAATCCTGTTAATCCATTATTATCATGCTCTTAGTAAAGACGCCATTTAGATATACATACCACCTTCGATTATGTACAAAAATAATGCATTAGACAAGAGCCAGTGGCAGGCCACGCTCATAGTTATGAGGGGTATGCTATACTTATAAGGCAGTTGTAACCTATAGCTCGAGACTTGCTGGCCTCTAGGATGGGAAACCCGAAGGGGTTGATATTTTAGGCTGTAGGAGTTCCACTCCCGCTCAACTTGGAGGCGAGTAAAAAATCCATTGTAAGAGAAGTAGCAGATTGATAATAGAAGCTGGGGACTATTAGAAGCAATAATCACGAGTAGATACCCAGCCCCGTCCATTCCACCACTTCTTCGGTTCGTGTCTGACTGGCCGAATGGTCCCTGGCTAGGCGGAATTAATATCTATAACATACAATATTAAACTATAAGCTCCTTAGGACTTACAAGGAAAATGTGTTTGACTCGTAAGAGAGTGCAAGCCCTGCAGACAGTAGTCCCATTGAAGGCAGCAGTAATAGAATATACGTGCGGATCCATACAGCCCGAGGTATAGTTGATATATAGCGCCTCTCTAGATCAAACCACTGGCGAGGTTTTGTTGTTTCTGTTAAGGAAGATACCTCATCTGATGACCAGAACCGGCGAGATTGAATATTAAGCCGATTGCTATCAATAATATCCAGTGACCCAAGCCCGCTCGTGTAGTCATCGGGTTTAGCTATAAATGATGCTATGGCATCACCTGGTGTAACAATTGTGTACTCCGGTAGCTTCCAGAGAACCACGGCGCACTGGATGACTTTGGTAAACGTGCAGATAATGACAACAAGCAGCAACATATTTGATATACCGACCTTGCAGACTCTCGGATAAGATTCGACGAGACAGTGCTTGACCGGCAAATTGTCAAACTTCTCATTAAAACCAAACTCGGCCTTTAAACTTGGAGACAACACCATCCGTTTGTGTAAAGAAATCATCCAATCTAATGGCATGGGTCCATCTATGCCTTTCGTCATGTCATCAGTTGGAAATATGTATCCGCAATTATTATTGCACTCTTCCCTGTCGTATCTTGCTTTTCGTGTTATGTTGCATTGTGTGGAGTACCATAATGAGTTAACACGATTAGGAGGGACGTATCTGTCCCATTGCAGAGATAAGTCATAAGTTAAGTTGAAGACTTCGTTCCTACGCCATCCCTTTGTATTGTTCATGCCATTCTCGACAACGATAACTACGTCGCGGCGTTGGTTTCTCGGCTTGCAAGATATATACTCAGCAAGGCAGGCATTGGGATCCAAATTATCCCAGCTTCTCCCAATTTTTGCTGCCTTGCTAATATCCCGCATAGGCTCTGACATCTTATCCAAGTATTGTTCCAGGGGAACCACACCGCCGAAGCCGCTGAACTGATTACTACAAGAAGATTCATTATCAAGACAGTCCACAGGGTGTGATGATCCGGCAGGTGCTAGGCTGGCCCCTGGGGGAAAGAATTCCGCACCTTGCGTAAAAGCTTCAGTTGCAATAGTAACCTGCCAACTTGAGCCTTGGAATTGTGTTTCGAAAATAGTACTATTAAAAAAAAGATGTATGGGAAGAGATGATAAGAGTAGGACGCTCCAGCATATTCTTTTAAAATAAGAAACAAGCCCCATGTTCTTGAAAGATGGTATTCCAATATCCATAGAGCGTAGGAACATGTGAGCTTTGTCGATATCTTGACGTGATGGGGAGCTTATAATTTGCATGAAGTAGTTGGAGGACGCCAAAATACCGGTTGATAATATATTGAGAAGCAAGTGAAGTATCGTGTTAAGTCTAGACGTGCGGTTGCATTCTCCTTCGAATATAATAGTAGTTCCATTTATGGAGGTTCCTGGCCTCTCGAGACTTATGATAAGGCATACTAATAACGAAATTCCGCACATTGATATTAGAGCGATATTGATGGATCCAGTCCGCCGCCAAGCGTCTCGCTTGATGTCTTTGGATGATACCATGTTCACCTCAATGTTCTTAAATTGTAGATAGAGGCCGAATGAGAACGAATGAGAATAATCATAGGGTAACTTACGCATGAAACTAACACCAGGGAAGTTAATATAGTAGATTTACCTTTCGATGTTAAGTTTCTCGCCTAGGAAATGAAAATCTGCCTTACTGTCTCAGCCACCGCACCAAGGCATTTATAGCCCCTTGACACAACATATGAGTTACACAAGTGGCGGGTGATGCTACGAGTGGGAGTCAGAAATATAAAAGATCCTTGGCCGATAGATTCCCCCCTCCCTCTCCCATCAATGAGAAACAGTGATATCGCGACTTGATAGCAATAAAACCCGAATATCCGCACAATAATATAATCCATCAAAATTTTTTTTTTGATATATCATAGGAACATGAGACTCCCAATTTCTAGCATATTCCGCTTGAATAATAAATATATTTGCTCGTTGAGACGACAAGGTCAGAACCAATACGAACCCAGGACAGCTCAAGGCCAATATGTAGAATCCGGAGCATTCGAAAGAGCAAGAACAGAGAGTACAAGCAGGACTCGGGATTTTAACGATTTACAGCACCCCCCGGGGCCAAAATGGAGTTTAGTTCGGACGATTCGTCTTTTATTCAATGGGTCCCGACTCTTCTTTGACATTACGTTGATCATTATCTTATCGCATCATGATGGTGTTATCATTTATGCTATAATCGATATTACCATCGTAGGTTCCTTACCTATTCTTATTTCTCAAATAAAATTGAGGACCCGAGTTGACGAAGATCAGGCTGGCTTTCTCATACTATGGGACTTGTTAGAAAAATTTTGCTTAAAGAGCGACAGCCCCTACACTACGACATCTAAAATATCTATCTCCATAGAGGTAGCCATACCAATTGGGATAGTTGTTATGATGTATTTTGTTATTATATATCAAGATATAGATTATCTAGGGTTGGATATTTACAACCCTATTCATATTTCTACAACCCTCCTATGGGTGCCTGTCGTGTAAGGTCATTGAAAGGATTTGCCTGCCTAGGTATTTAAGGTACCTGTAAATGCTAATATGCCATTTTCTTTAGAATCATAAGCGGGGTGTTGATTTATCATCTGGTAAGAAGCTACATCCAGAGACGACATGATCGAAAGATCCGGCCAATTGTAGTGTTTACCAGGACTGGGGATCCAGTCGCTGTTATGCCGCGAGCTCGACCGCCTAACGATTCAGCATCAAGGATTTCCATCGACTCTTTGATACAAACCTCCGAAGAGCCCAGCCTACAGGAAGTGCGTGTCCTCTAATACATATTGAAGAGATGCTAGGAGAAACACCAAAGTGTGTAGTGCTATTAGATTGAGAACGCATATTGTGGAATACTTCACTCGAAATTGGTGGTATGCTATTTTGTGTTTGATAGGAACTTAGTGTATTTGTAATCGAAGTTAGAGAAAATAACAATGAAGTGGCAACTGGTGCTCGCAATGGTATTAATCTATTTAATCTATTGATGCTAACGTACTTAGGTATGTTATGTAAGCAAGCAAGAAGGTTCTGTAGTTATCCACGTGACTAACTGTAGGACCTTTTTTACACTATATTCTGCACGGATAGGTACCCACAGGCTAACTGCTATTGGTTATCCAGCCCGGTAATCTTTAGTGGCTGAAGGTACAAAGCGTAGGTACTTATCGTTCTTTATCTAATTTGAGGCGGTGCGTGCCATTGTGACAAGGGAAATTGCTCTCCCATATTCCGGCCTCCTCTACCTAGATCCTCTCACCTCCAACAACGTCATTCTTTTTTTCCCGACAACAGCATTGACACTTGCTAGGTAATCCGACACGTCCATTTGACGATTTACAGCGTTATTGATTGCGCCGAGTCTTCGTCAAAACTCGCATACCTCACCAGCGACTCTATTAAAAACCGTGTTGTGGTGCTTTGCCACCGCTGCCGCCTCGCGATCTAACTTGACGCGCAGATCGCTTTCATATTCTTACCCTATAATAGTGTCTTTCGCCCACCGTTACTTGTCTACACCTTCCAATAATCTACTTTATACCGAAAACAAAGTTAGCCCAAGATGTCTATCGAGGTTGCTATGAATACGCCGCTGGCGGATGCGCTTAACATGGCGATCCAGCCGAAGCTGGTAGAAGTAGGCTGGGCATCAGGTGGCGCCGACGACAGCGCGCTGTCAGAATATATCATTTTGATGCTCGTGAACGGCAAAACTCAGGATCAAATTGCTGCCGAACTAGCTGGCGATCTTCTTAGCCTTGGCCCTGACGACCCTGGCGCACGAGACTTCGCGAAGTGGCTCTTTGATCAGATCGAGTCTTTGAACTCTCAACTGAACGGAGCTCCGCCCCAATTAGGAAACAATGGTGTTGGAGTGCCCCAAAACGCGCCGTCTTCCACAGAACAGGATGCAGATATGACTATGTCCCTTGATGGTCCCGAGCTGAACGCGTAAGTTTCCACTATTAAATTTTTATCTCCCTATTTATGTCTTTTTAACATAAGCTAACACCAACTAGTCCCACAGGTCCTAGATCTATGAGAAATCCTAATATGCGAGGCAACCGAGAAAAGCGGATGCTTGGACAGATGAGCAAGGCTATGGATCGTAGCCACGACAATGTGTTACACCGCGTACGAGGAAATGGCAATGAAAGGATCAATGCCCACCGAGCGCCTCCTACTGGGCCGAGGGGCGGTTTCGGACGCACCAACAATCGTGCAGCGAACAACCGTGCGGCTGGGTTTGCTGCTCATCTAGGTCAAGCTGGTGGAGCCTTGCCGAATATGCACGACCCTAATGGAATGCCTAATCTGAACAATGATATGAATTGGATGATGCCTGGCGGTGGTACTCCGGAGCAATTGTTCCAGCTCCTCCAACAGCAGAACCATATGATGGGGCAGATGTATCAGCAACTCACCCAACAGAGCCAGCCGAACGGAAGGCCTAACGGAAGGTCGCTTTTCGACCGGGTACAAAATCCGCGAGGTGGTAGGCGAGGAGGCCATGCCAACGGCCACAAATTCCACCAGGGAGATGGGTCTAGTGTCAACGAGACCGGCGCCGACAATGAAGACGTTGATATGACGCAGGCCAGACGTGAACTGTCTAACCCCGAAACGATGGTTTGCAAGTTCAACTTGTCATGTACTAACAGGGATTGCAAGTTTGCTCATCAGTCTCCGGCGGCACCGCCGAATACCACGGTTGATATTAACGATGTCTGTTCATACGGCGCGGCATGCAAAAACCGGAAATGTGTCGGTCGCCATCCCTCACCGGCAACTAGGCGCGCGCATCAAAATGAACAAGAATGCAAGTTCTTCCCTAATTGTACCAACCCGAGCTGTCCTTTCAAGCACCCGGATATGCCTCCCTGCCGGAACGGAGGCGATTGCGCCGTGGAGGGATGCAAGTTCACTCATCTCCAGACCATGTGCAAGTACAAGCCATGTACCAACCGTTTCTGCCCATACAAGCACGACGAAGGACAAAGGGGAACATTCCAGGATAAGGTCTGGACTGCTGATGGGACAAGGGAGCATGTGAGCGAGAGGAAGTTTGTGGATTCGAATGGCCTCGAGGAGCTTCTTGTGCCCGGTGGAGAGGCTGGTTCGGGTCAAGAAGCAGCAGCAACAACTGATACCATCATGTGAAGTTTGTCGGAAAAGGGGGGATTCGCAATGGATGGAGTATGATGATGTAGCGGGAGTGGGAAGGTTGATGATAAATTAGTATTCTCAATGAGCGAATGAGGGATAGGGGGGATAAGGAGGAAATTCTCAATTTTAGAATTGCTATTGATACAGGCGTTAGGTCGGTGATAGGAAAAGTCAAGGGACTTCAGCACATTACAATATACCCAAATGCATTTTGTGACTTGATGAATAATACAAAGATTTCCAATTTATCTCGAGTTTTTAATTTATTGTGATGTGACTTGTTTTATAATATGTAATATGCAGTAGTCTTATGATATCGAATGTATTTACGGATTACATATGTACCTACCTAATATACAGGTATATATATTTAACGGGGGCAGCTTCGACTTACGTAGTGTATGTACATGTTAGTAGTACGAAGTACATAACTAAAGTAATTTCTAAAGCAACTTGAATTCACCACGCCACTTTATACATTTCTCCATAAACTTCAACATGCGACCTCTACCGCTACAACCAGCTATATAGCCATACTACGTGTGCAATGAATTCCAAACGCTCAGAATATGTTCTCGTAGGTCTTCTAAGGTCTGCATACCGTAATGCGCGACATGGCTCTCCTACCCGAATATCGACATCCCCGACCTCACGACAGCTAAGCTCCCTAGTAGCTCCGAGTAGCCTTCTTCATTCGTCAATTCGAAAGCAGGTTGCTTGCTCTCGATCTGGGAAGCTCCCCCGATCTCAAAGCCAGACATTTGCAACCGCAATAGCGCTCAATGGCAAGAAGCGGGAAATTGCTGTTCTTGGTGGCGGCATCACTGGGTTGACTACTGCACACTACTTAGCCCGCCATGCTCAGAACGCACATATCACACTATACGATACGTCGCATATACTCGGTGGATGGGTATATGGGGGACTTGTAGATATAGACAAGGACAGTTCCGAGAAAGTTTTGTTTCAGTCTGGTCCGCGCATGCTTCGATCGGGGAATTCGTCTCTAAAGTATGACAACCTCGTCTTCTACGATGTAGTGGGTACACCTTCATGCGACTGGTCCTTTTCGACAAAATAAGAACTTCGCTAATGGTTACATCCCCCTTACTTCAGTTGCTAAATTTAGGCATTGAAAGTAAACTTTTAGTTCACCTTGGCCCTCCCCCTGCTCGTTATATATATTATCCAGACCGCCTAGTCAAGCTACCGACAGGTGATTTCACTCCGGAGAACATTTTCCATACCATTCAATCTTATCTTACTGAACCCATCTGGGACGGGGCCTTGAAATCTCTTTATAATGGTTTCCCGTTACGGGAGAAAGTACCTGATTCCTTGCCTGATTCATCTATGGATCAAGATGAATCCGTGGGCGATTTTTTTGGTAGGCTTTTCAAAGACGATCGGCTGGTTAATAATATATTATCGGGCATGATGCATGGCATATACGGCGGCGACGTATATAAATTGAGTGCAAAGCATACGATATTCGATTCATTCTGGCGTTCGGTCAAATGTCCAGGTGACTCTGATACGCCCTTAGTAGAAGCCAAGGAACCAGTTCTCCTTCATAGCCTCATGCACAGTCCTAATCGTTCCAAGATCCAGGACTTGGTTAGGATGACCGGTACGACTACTATGGGGTTTGAAGATGGCCTTCTTACCCTCTCAAAGGGTTTAATTAAAGACTTGAAGAGTCAGAAAAATGTAACAATCAAGGCTTATAGTCAGGTCACTTCTTTGGAACATAAAAGTGGCCAAGTGTCGGTAAGCTCTCTAGACTCACCCAAGAGTGTTATAAAAGCACGCTCTCTGATACTGAACTTTTATAGGTAACTTCAACGACTACGGTGAACGACGAAAAACGGGAACAAACGAGGCAATATGACCAAGTAATCAGCACCATTTTCTCCAAGCATCTTGCCGGACTGGTCAAACCTAAAAATAGTCTCCCCTCGCTGGAAGATACTCACGCCGTAACCATCATGGTCGTCAACCTTTGGTTCCCGAATCCAAATCTACTCGAAGGTAAGCGTGGCTTCGGCTATCTTGTACCAACCTCGACACCCGACAACGACGAGTGCGTGCTAGGCGTGCTTTTCGATTCGGAAATCGAGATGCGCGGCGAGCGTCCGGGTACGAAGCTCACCGTCATGATGGGCGGCCACTACTGGGACGGCTGGACCAATTACCCGACGGAGGAAGTGGCGCGCGTGATGGCCCTGCAAGCCGTCCAGCGTCATCTCGGCATCCCCGTAGATCAAGAGCCCATCTCGTATGCGCGCTTGTGTCGCGACTGTCTACCACAGCACTACGTCGGGCACCGCGAGCGCATGAGCGCCGCGCACTACGAACTACTCTCCGCCTTCAAGGGCCAGCTCACTGTTGCCGGCCCCAGCTACACCAGCATCGGGGTGATGCCAGCCATGCGCGCTGGTTTCGAAGCCGCTATGCGCGTCGCTCGCGGCCGCGGCCCCCCCTGGTTCGAGCTTGATCTCAGCACCGCTGAGTGGAGCCCCCGCCTCAGGGAGGCCGGACCATTCGCCGGCGGCATCCCGGACCACGTCGGCGCTACGGGGCTGGAAGGCTTCACCAAGCCGTATTATAATACTCTGGTCCGCGTGAAGCAATTTCCCGTCCCAGAAAAATGATAGCAATTAGATGCGGAGCTAGGCCAGGGCTTCGAGATGGATGGATAGATCGATATGCAAATATTATTTATACGTGAGTTGGATAGGGGTCGTTTTAGAAAAGGGAGGGCCAGCGGTTGGTAGTATGCTATCTGTGGAGAGATAATGTTACATTGAGAGATTACAATACGATATGTGTCTATGGGTTATGATATGAATACTAGCAGTAGCACTACACCATAGTGAATGAGAAAACTCGGTCAAGCGAGGAGTTTAGTCTACATACCTAGATCAGTTCTTTTCTATGTGGTTTGTACGATATCTAATTCTACTTCGTAGCTCGAGTTGGATTAATCACCAATAGGCGATGTATATATACATACCTAAACACCTACTTAGGTGGGTACCTAGCCTATGCTTCAAATCACTTTTACAATTACATGTTACGAACGTCACAGCTTAGAATAAGTATAGGTACACATCACAAATCTGAAGATAGAAGATCGAAGGAATTAATTTTTTGATCCAGAGATCTGCTCAATGATAATTTAACCCCACCCCCAACGCCTAAGCTAATGCTGTATATATGTACAATGCTGCACGGCATGGCCGTTGCCCTCTATGTCTATAGTCTATGCATGGGGTATCGCCTTGTACAATTCTGTGTGCCTCCCTTTTTATTCTTTTGGTAACGCTGGCAAAAAACAGGATTCTTACGCTGATCGTCTCTTGCGCTAGATGTGTATATGTGCCCTCATTCTGGCTTTAGGGACGGGCTCACTATGTCAGTGCCCTTTTATCCGCTGTATTATCTATACCCCCAAGTGTCGTGGCGTTAACAATGAGAGATCGTGGTGTCTTCTCTCATTACTAGGATAGTGTGGTGTTGTATAGTGCGAGAATAAGGTGACGGTTCTCGATATGGTTTAGGTAGGCCGAGTTGTATTGCCAAGTCTAGGTATATATTTAGTCCTAAACTCATCCAGAAAAATCGCCCTTTACCAAAAGATCTGGGCGGGAACTCGGAGTATCTTCTCCGGCTTCGTGACGTCGTAGTGATATGTGGTTATTCGTGGTATTAGGGTAAGGTAGGTATGTTCTGCGTCGTAAATGGGTCGGTATTAACTTAGGGTATCATACTCTCTTCTCACTCATAAGGTCAGTGCAAGTATATACTGCAAAGACAAACGATAGCCTGGAATATAGAAATCATTTTCATGCTACGTCGTATATCGAAATAGCTCATCCGGGAAAGTAGGCCCCTCAACCTAAAATCCTAATAAAGATGGCACTCTTCGCTACTGTGGAGGATAGGTATTCCCTCGTGGAATATTAGTAAGTAAAAGTACACACTACACTGCCGAAAAACATTCTGAACAGTGATACGTGTTGACGGATGTAGTCATGGTAGGTACATGCTGCGATGGCGGACGGATGGTGATGCTAGGTTGCGCTATGACATGGCGCGTCGGGTATTGGTATAGGATGTCTTGGGTATCGAAGTATGTAATAGGTCTATTAGAAAATAGACACCTAAACTAATTATAGGCGAATCGTGTATCATCGCAGTCTGAGTATATGTATATCGTAATAAGAGAAGATGCAGTTGCTTGGGAGAGGAATGGTGCTATGATATGATGTTTGAGTATCGAAGTATCCATTTGTAGGTCTCTAGAGAACAAAGGCTCCTAGCCAATGTACTTTAATGGGAGATAGTGGATGTGCTTCGTATGCTCGAATGATATGTCGGGTATGTGTGCGAAATGCTCTTCACCGTAGGGTCTAAGCAAGTACGTGTTGCAAAGACAAATAATGTTCTTCCAGTATATCGGGTATCTCTGATCAATAGGGTCAATACAGGTACGTGCTGTAGAGACAAAGTTGCTCTTTGAGGTATCGATCCTCTTAGACAATGGCGTCTGCTCAGGTATATGCTGCAAAAGCTAGGGGTGAAAAAGGTTCTAGGCATGTCGTGTACTATGCCTCAATATCTGTGTCATTGGAAGTTTTTTTTTCTCTTTTCTTTTTCCTGTTTTTTTCCTGCTAGTTGGAAAGAAGTGAGTTGTTGGATAAGTCAACATCGATACCAACAATGGACGATGGAGCCTATTAAGATCTGACAACAAGGAAATCAACGAGACCTAATGACAAGAGCTAATGTCGAGAGATAATGGTGTGTATGCATATCATGCATCGTGTGATATAGCAAAGGCCTTTCTAAGAAGGTAGTCTGCCGCTTAGATGAGTGTGGTGGTGCGCTCGAACTGGAACTGCTAAGTAGTCTCGGATGCTCCAGGTACCTCAAGTGCTTCAAGTGCTTCAGGGAGGTCGATCGGCTCATATTCTTCGTCTCCTAAGAGCATACGCTTCTTGCACTGCTCTTCCACAGATTCTTCCTCTTCTTCTACGCCCCATACTCTTTCGACGCGGGCAGCAAGAACTAGCTTCTTGACGCAAGAGTTGTAGATGAGGCACTCTACCGACTTCTCTGTGATGAAACGTATTATCTCTACTGGCCTCGTCTGTCCGATCCTGTGGGCACGGTTGGATGCCTGTACGTCTTCTTGCGGATTATCCGACTGGTCGAAGAGGATGATCTTGTTCGCCGCGGTAAGGTTCAGTCCAGTGCCGCCGGCCACGGTGGTAATGAGGAAAACGGGAATATCTGGGTCGTTCGTGAAGCGCTGAATCTCCGGGAACCGATCTGCCGTATCGGTGGCTCCTGTAATGCAGCAATATGGGATATCTGCATAGTGTAGGGCCTCTCGTAGGATATCTACTACAATTTCAAAACGGCTGAATACCAAAACACGATCTCCGTTCTTCATATAGCCGCGTACAAGTTCTAGGAGCTTTTGAACCTTGGGGCTGTCCTCCCATGATCGAGTGGGGATATCAAAATGTCGGATTCGCTTGAAATATTTGCAATCGAGGTGCAGTTGGAAGTCGGTCTTGTCCAAGGCAGTATCTATGAAACGTTGCTTGTAGCGTTCATCCTTACTCTCGACACCGAGTTCTTTAGCGGGGTAGTGCTTCCACAAAATCTCTACCATCTCCAAGACTTTTTCATCAGTAAAATGATGGCGGAATAATTGATGATGGATTGCTGCCTTTCGGAGTGACATCCATTGATGTGCATCCTTTTTAGCTTTCTTGACGCCGTTCGGTAGTACATATTTGCCTTTGATCGAATCATAGATCTCTTTCTGTGTTTCATGCATCCCCACGATTTCAAGGCGCTCCGTCTTAGGAGGTAAAGCGAGGACTTCTTCCTTTCGTCTCTGTAGAATGAACGGAGCCATGACCACACGGGCACGTTCGACACGTTCTGATGCAAGCGCTGCAAAGTTGAGGACATCTTTGCTGGGGACCTTTGCTTCGAAGATTGTATTGAGCGCATCGAACTTGTCCTTGTCGAACATGCCAGGTTCGATAAAACGGAGGATGGTTAAAAGCTCTTTTAGATTATTCTGTACAGGCGTACCGCTGAGGATAAGACGCCATTCGGTCGGTACCCGCATCATCTGCTTGTAAATAAGGGTACTCTGATTCTTGAGTTTATGGCCCTCGTCGAATATGGCGGCCTAAACACTAGTTAGTCAAGCTCGTGTATATAAATAGAATGGGTTCACAAACATATGGTTCTATGGCCTGGAGGAACTTAAGATCCTCGCGCTGTCTTTCAATTTGCGGATAGGTCGTTAAGACGACGTGGTGCTGCTTTGCGGTTCTAGGAGAAATTCCTCTACGGCTTGAGCCTGTGTACGCCAAGACCGAGACACCAGGAGCAAACGTTTCGAATTCCTTTATCCAGTTCTCGAAGGTACTCGACGGCACAACAATTAGATTCGGCCAAGGCGTCCTGGAACCCGGTTCACGCTCCGACTTGACTAGGTGAGCGATGAATGAGATGACCTGACAGGTCTTACCAAGACCCATGTCGTCAGCGAGGATGCCGCCATAACCTTTCCTGCGCAGCAAGTCCATCCAGTTGAGCCCAACCATCTGATAGGACTTGAGCTTGATGCTCTCGCCCATCAGCTTCGGCTTCTCTTCAATCGGTAGTCGAGCCAGAGTGGCTGCCTCACCCTTAGACTCGCCATTCTTATCAAGATTCCAGGTGGACATGATACTATTAATCTCCGCTCCTCTTCTATCACACTCGTCGATGACGGCCGTTGCTGCTTCGCATGCCTGTAACCAGGACTTTAGCCTCTCTACGATGTTCTCGCCGACGTTGACTATTCTAATCTTCTTCTTTGATTTAGCCTTGTCTTGTCGCGAGACTTTCTCGGCATCGGCAATGGATTTGAAAGGTCGGGAGCTGTTCATCAGCTGGGCGTCCGCTGTAGAACCAATCATGCGGCCCAGATTCTCAACAGTACAGGTGTTGAGATACTCGAGGACATTAGAGAGATCTTCAACAAGTCCGTCGGGATTAGAGTCTTCGGCGTCAGAGTCCTCGTCGGAGATTTCATAAATCTCATCACGCTCAAGTTCATCATCAGCCTTACGCTTCTTGGGCGTGTCAACTTTTGTCTTCTTGTTAGGAGGGGTAGGAAGGTCGGAAGCTTTAAGCTCTAATTGATCCGAATCTCTCTTTCGCGATTGAATCTCACTCTTGTCAACCTTAGACTTCTTCGTTGGGAGTAGGTCTTCTGCACCCGATTGTCTCTTACGAGATTGAGCAAGTTGAGCTACAGAGGGGAGCGAGTCTGACTCGGAATTTGAATCAGGATCGGGAGTCTTATTACGACGACCCTGCATGAGTCGGCGACCGCGGGGCATTGCCTTAGACGCGGCCGCCTGAGCAGCGGATGACCTAGTCTTCATATCGAGACTGTCGTCTGGCGATGACTCTCTTGACTGTGTTAGACTAGTAAGAGTTGAAGTAGGTGAGGATGATATAGAAAAGATTGCAGATGGTGTTGAAGAATGATTTCGTCCTTGTACAAGACGTCTGCGAGGTGGGTTGTTGTTAGATGTATTTGATGTAATTGAATTGCTTGAAAGAATTGAGTTGCTCGAACTTTGTGTGCGAGAAAGTTGTGTTGAAGTCTGAGAAGAAGATTTGGTTGAATTTGCAGAGGGGGGAAGCTTTTTCAAAAAAGTTTGCAAACTATTTCGAGGGGCATCGCACCCTGAGGTATCTAAAGAGGTTGGGGTTGATTCGAAATATTCACTATCGCCAGCTGCACGTTTAGTGCTTGCAGTGCTACAGCTGCTGTTGGACAATGCACCTGTAGATTTCGACAGCGAGAGAGATTTGGTTGGCCTTCCCGTCAATGAATCCACCGCTTTCGAAACTTGCCAGCCGACATCCTTCTGCAACGCTTCCTTGCAGGCTCGAATGGTAATTCCAGGTACAGCCCTTTGGACGATTTTATAAACTTGCCCGGTCAGGTGCCGTAGTCTGATATCACGAATATCGTTAAGAGAAATGTCTGCATTCTCAAACCAAGTAGCTCCTGTTCTCGACACCGGGAACGATGGGTTCTTCGCAAAAGATGAAGGTCGTATATCCCCCCTAGTGGGTGTATCGTCATCTGAACTATCCTGCTTTTTATAGTCCTCTAATAGATCATCATCAGAGATATCTATATAGTCTCGTCGGCCCGCAGGACCGCCAGCTTTCTGTGGTGGTTTCTGCATCGTAGGTGGCCTAAATGAGGTTCCCGCTGGCGCCATTAATGATCCTACTCTACTTGCTACGCCAGACTTCTTAACTAGCACACCCGAGGGCTTTGCCTGACTCTCGGCCTGGAATGGAGACGAAGCAGGCACTTCAATAGTCGCACGTGGAGTATCAGGCACTAAAGGAGAGGATGGCAGTTGCGGAGCTCGGTTTACTATTTGAGTAGGTTGAGTAGCTCTGTTAACTATTTGCGTTGGCTGAGTGAAGTATGGCGAGACCCCATCGATAGCAAGCTCGTCGATGTCATCATCGTCACCTATATCAATATATGCCGCGCTGGAGCTCTGTGCTCGGCGGCTGGGCTGGTCTTTCCGACTCAATCCTGGAGTGCCAGGGATTGGAGTAGAGCCTTTGCCCGAGATCGACGGAGATGGCCGTCCCATTTTTAAGAATGGATACCTAGAAGTAATATATCGTACTAGAGAATGGTAATTTTAATGTAGATATCTGGCTTGAGGTTGAGATAAGAGAGTTTAGGTTTGATTGTATATCGTGAAGGGATGATAATTCTGTGTGTGTGTGAAGAAGAATGAGCAAGTTTAGTTAGGCAAGTACTCATAGTACGGGTTATATATCGTTGGGATACACGGTATTTGGGTGGGCGATACAAGTCTGTAAACTGGAGAAGTTGGCACAGAGGATATAGAAAGTATTAAATCAAAATGAAAGCAACTTTTTTTTTTCTTTTTCGACGTTAAACGCACAGGAGATAAAGTGGGTACACGCGCCTCGACGCGGTAAAGTATGGGTCAAAGAGCACTACCGGCGCGCTATCAGCTGACGGAGAGAACGTTTAATTGATTCCGTACCTGGGTTGTATGTCGAAACAAATATTAAACCAAATACATAAGAATAAGAAGGAAGGGTTTAAAGATATAGAGACCCAATTTGTAGAGATATACCTATTCATCCTAGTTTCAGGCTTTGTTCGTCTTAATGGATAAAGGTTAGATCAAAGATACGTAAATTGAGGAATGATGTACTTACATGAGTACTTACATAGGTACACTGCTCAAAGGTCCATACCTACCTAAGGTACCAATCTTTATACGTCAGGTACCTACGGTATGTACATAACCTAATTCATTAGGTACTTTAGTGCAATATAGGTCAAAGCTCCTTCTCTTAGTTTCTAAATAAGTACCTCCTAGTCCAGTATACGTACATAGGTACATTGATGCCCCCACTCTTACATCCATCAATTGCCTGAGCCTCTTTGATGTCAGGGCCCGTGTCCAGATGAGCCTCAGTACAACAAGTAACAAACCACAATAAGATTGTCGATTTTACAACTAATAATCTTAGCACCGATTAAGTCACTACCAGTGTTAATTATCAAGTCAACCCCAAGAGAAGGAAGAAGAAACAGAAGACGAATACAATACAATGGCTACTCGTCGTATCATTTCCACAGAGAAGACCCTCCTCGACAAAGATGAAGATAATACCTCCGGACAAGAACAGTCGAGCAGCATCGCGCCAGCCGTCCCGATGTAAGTAGGGAAGTACAGTTCACCCAAGGCTTAACCACTTCATAACATAAACCTTCTTGTCTTCTAGACTTACTCCTTACTTTCCGCCGCCTCCCTACTATCAAAGTGAAATAGCTTAGACAATCTAACACTACTAATAGGGGTGTAATTATTAAGTTGCTAGCCTTCACCTTCGCCATGGTGATCATACCAATTGGATCTTATTTCTTAACGGTGAACACCATCTTCAAAGGTAAAGCCGAAGCGCCCATATTCCTTCTTCCTCTATAATTTTCTTTTCTTCTCCTCGCTAGTTTGCAATTATTGCATATTATGTGGCCACGTGACGCATCATCTACCCTATTACTTATTCCAAGCGCGCTAACAAGCATGACTAGGAAATTCGACGTACGCAGGAGCCCTTGCGGCTATCATGGCAAATGTTGTTCTTGTAGGCTATGTGATTGTAGCCATGAATGAAGACCAGTCAGAACAGCTAGCAGCCAAGAAGAAGGAGGGAAAGAAGGACTAGTCAATCAAAGATATCTATATGGGAAGTTGTTCTCACTGTGGGTTGCTATATTTGGGGACCTAGACTTATTAACTAGCTGTGTAAACATGCCAGGAAAGTAACGGCGGTCCGTATTTCCCCAAAACCATATCTCAGCCCAGGAAAATCGAAGGAATCATGCCTTAGGCACATATATATGCCATATGCCTTAGGTTGCAAGCATTCAGCACAGCACATAGCATGCAGGTAGTATCACTACGAGCGATACTGCGGAAATGAAAACAACTTTGTTCGGAATTTCTCCTTGGTATTATATCTTCATTACGTGACCTGTTTCGTAAGCATTATTCTCCCATGGGTTTGGTAAGGATTCACGCCCAAAAAAGAGTTCACCATGCCATATTATGAAATCGACATTGAGTCAAATGTGACATCTGTATTCTAGCAGATGACTTCTGGCAAGCCACTGAGTGCGGTACACCCTTGCTTGTCCGATCCCCTTTCCACATACCACATAGGCCTCGCATATATCCGCCCGTAACAGGGTCATGAAGAATAGGGTCATTAAGGATAGGCAATAGACTATGAGACGAGGAAACTCGCCCTGTCCTCCAAATATTCCTAACATCGTGAACATAACTTTCCACCAACTCCCCTTTCTGATGCTACCTTATTATATTTCACCAAAGCCTCCTCCCGTGCCCGCAAATGCGACGTTTCAATAGGAAACACCATACCAGATGCTGAATGTCGCAAAATTCGTCCTTATGAACTTCATCCTCGAACCCTGCTCAACATTCAGGGTACACATATCCGGGTCAATCCATGACCTCTGTCCATTAATGATCGTCAAAGCTGTATCTTCTAGAATTGCATCCCAATCGGGATTATAACATAAAAAAAATGATTCATGGGAATGTCGGATGTCGTAGGGACAAGGGGTATCTCAAAGAGGTATTAAGTTGTGCGAATAGTTCGTTCCATCGCAGAAGCAATATCGACTCGTTCGTTAATAGGTTTATGATTTACTAAATCGTTTAAACCAACTCTTTCGCTTCTCTACCTGCGGTCGCTCTTCCGAGTTCCCACTAGGTACCGCAGCTTTTGAAGGTTTCCTCAATATTCCATTCTCTTTACGTGGATTAGGTGGCGCGAGTCCCAGATTCGGGGTTTGCGTTGCCTGGCCAAAGCTGATGCCATAGTCGTTTACTGGTTCCTGTCGTTTTGGTGGCGAACGGCGATCGATTGAACTATTATCACTACTAGTGGGATCAGTCTGATATCCCGCCGGCTCGCCCAAGCTTCCACTACCGGAACCGGACGCAACCGTCTCGTACGAGCGGTGATTGTTCGGCATGGGATAGACGTTCTTATCGACAACCCCGCGATGGTTCACATACGGATCGGACTGCATTCTCGAAAATCTATTTCTCGGACCCGGGTTACCATGGCTATACGGAGCGTTTTCATATCCTTCGTGATAACTTTCTCGGTGATTGATCACGGCCTGTCTGGGATCGTACATCGTACTTTCTGGTCGGAATCCAGAATTCGGTCGACCTCCGTAGTAGCTATCTTGGGGAAAGCGCGGGCCGTTGTCTAGTGGTGTCTTCTGTGAGATGGTGTACATATGATTAGGTGAGGGTGATGGAAATATGTATTGCTTACTTCCGTAGTAGCTTCCTCGCCTGCTAAAATTGGCTACTGATGCGGTATCTGATTGGCGGCCATATGCGCCATCAATGGCAGCTTCAAAAGCTCGAATGGTATCAAGAGGCCGTTCCATCCGGCTTCGAGTAGGGTTCGATCGGTCGGGATCGGCTTAAATTATAGTTAGCATTATAAATAGATATATAGACACTATACTCACTAATTGGGTTGCCATAAACATCCTTGTGTTGAAAGGAGCGCAATGAGGCTGGATTAATACCCCCTTTAGATTGCGCTTCCATAGCTATACCTCAAGTCAGTATGTACCATCAAGTGTTTAAATATACGGTTCGGGTAACGTACATGGTTCTAGCTCAGTCATAGCTAATGTAGGGTCAGTTTTGCCGTGGAGTCGATTAGCTTCCTTCTCGGCTGATGTCTCATGAGAGTTGTTCTTATTATGAGAGTTCGAGCTCCTGTGAGATTTCTCGGACCGAAAACTAAACGCTCTCGACTTCGGTCGGACCCGCTCTGGTTTCTGCGGCTCGGAAGGCTTTGCGGGTACTATTGGTTGCTGTCGTTGCTGCTGCCTTTGTTGTAGTTGCTGCTGTTGTTGTTGCTGCTGCTGATAATAGTGATGTGGTGGAACGGGAGCTTGTTGTTGGTAAGATTCGTCGCGGTATTGCCCTTGCTGCGGCGGCGTGGGCAGAGGGTGATGGCTGTAACTTGTAGACGCCATTGTTTCGGACGGGCAAAGGCCAAATGTTTTATCGCTTTGAATCCCTGAAAAGGAATATCCACTGGTGGGGACGGAGAAGCCAGAAACGATGGCAAGTGGATCGGCGCTCGATTGTGATATGCAAGGAAGCGATCGTGGAAAGCGCAATCTTGAATTTGACGGTCTTGTCTTATCGCAGACGGCGCGAGTGGGCTGAGGAAGGTTCGGGAATAGAGAATTCCACTGGGCTGCTGAGCAGCTGTAGGTACCTACTTTTTTGTTTTTCTTTTCTTCTTTTTTTGCGATAAGAGCAGTAACCCTTGCAAACTCAAAGTGCGGTAACTTGTGCGGGTCTCCCCGGGTATCTGTCAGTCAAAAGACTGTGATCTTCAAAGACTTTAATCAACACTGTGCAAGTGAAAATGAAAGCGGCTTGATATCTTAAAAAAAAATATCGGGACCCGGAACCTCGGATTTAGTTGCTTTTTCGTCTTATCAGAAATATTGATGCAGGATACTGATCTACAATATGTATGGCGTCTCTGCAATGACTGTGCGTAGTGTTGTGTGACCTTCGCACTGACAAAGTAGAGTACTGGTATGCAGAATCAGGCGGTGGTTGCTATTTTTTTCTTAGGCGGGTTGCAAGCTCTTAATGTCAACAGGATTGATGGTGGGCGGTAGATAATGGATCAGGTACCTCTAAGCTTATTAGTCGTCTCAGGATGGGGCCGAATTCAAGGAAATGTGGTTTCGCGTGGCTGGGATACAAGTCCAGGACAAGGGTAATAATGGCGTTTCTGGGCAGTGCCAGCAATTACGTTGCCTCGCCAGACGCCAATGACTTTGTCCAATAAAATAAGATCAGAACCTGACCGAATAACAACTTGACTACCAACCAAATTCACCCGTTCTTCGACTGTCGTATTGCACACAATATACGTATCAACTCCGGTTCCTTGGCGATCTCTTTGTGTGGGCGGGTATGTACCCGTATGTGGTATTCAAACGGCCAGATGTGGTATGTAAGTGAATCCCCAGTGGCACGACGGAAGTCACTTAACTAAATGACAAAGTCGAATGATTGGGTGATTTATTGGATGATTTAAAAGATTGAATTTTATAGATTGAGATCTCCTTTGAAGAGAGTTTTGCATCCGTGGTACCCGTTGCTGCCGCTGTCGAACTTCAACTGAGTTAGATCAGACGATTCTTCTTGCACGGCTTTACACGTGCGATTGAGAATGGCGATGAGGATTTAGTGACGTCAATTTGCGATTTCCCGCTCTCATCAATTTTTAAATAATGGATTGTTTCAGAAACGATCGCTGAAGGTAGGGATTCCGCTCTGTCCTTCCGCCAGTTATGCGACCTGGAGAGGAGAGCTGAGAGGAAAATCGAACAGTGGATCGAGGGGTTGCTGTCGAGTTGTCACAATTGACGCTTACGAGTTGGCTTGTTAACTTGTCTATTTGTTTCGTCGTTCTGCAAGCCTCGAGTAAGGTAGATCGCCGATTGGGTATTGTAGGTAATGTATTAAAATTTACATAAACGTTGGACGACGTACTGAGGTATTCTGCAGAAGCCTTGAAGCCTTGATAAGTGAGTGAATACTAGATAGAGATAAAGCGAGTGTAATAGAGACAACACATTTGCTAGATTGCCAAACAGCGAGTGAAAGGCGTAAATGTGTGATAGAGAAAGAAGTAGTGTAAGTTGAAGTAGGACGGGGAAGAATTGCATTAAACGACCGATCTCGTCCCAGTCTCACGGAATCTTCCAATACCTGATGTCTTTTCTCGATATGTACGGCCCTAGAAGAGGCAAAGATGCATGTCAGCTTGGGTGGCCTGACAAGGGTAGACGAATGTTTCGAGTTCAATTCCCATATACGGTACGTACCTCGTACATCTCGGCCTAGGATAGGTCAGTGTAGGCTATCGATAGCGGATACAGACTAAACAGGGATAATGGCTGGGCAGATATCATCACTCCACCAACCAGTTCATTCAAAAAGAAACTACCTTCGCTTCCTGCAACACCTTTGTGGTCTTTGATTTTTATTATCTATTTACACGTAGAAAGCGCTTAAAGATTTCATCATCCGCCTATCTTGCTACCTAGGTAGATGATAAGATCAACCTCGCCTCACAATATAAAATTCAAGTCAGGGATCACTTTTGGTACTCGACGTGTTTAGGCGAAATGAATTTTTTCGTCATGACAATCCTTAGGTGCACCATTGGCTGCATTAGGGACTTCTATCACCTATAGAAAGTAGGTATACATGCAGATACGGTTTTTATAGCAGTAACACACATGCGGTAAAATGTAGCTTATCTGTACCGACATTTCTTTGTCATCAAAAACGGGAGCTTCTAGCTTCTAGCTTCTAAAGTTCCGGTCCCAAAACCCCCTAACCAACATATCGGCAACGCTAAAGAGCCTGCAGCAGAAACTTTCATTCAAGTTATTTGGTCTCGCAAACTTATCAGGTACTAATTGTAGGCTCCCAGCTTCTGGCCCTGCCGTGATCGACCGATCCTTAACTGTCCTTTGCCTAAAAGCGGAGGTGGGGAAAGGCTGGCACTGCCCCCATTGAGTCGTCACCATAGGGAATACGAATTACCATTCCATTCCACCACCTCGTTGC